CAAACTTTCTTCTTTCATTACCGAAATGTTTGACTACTTGTTGCATCAATCGGATCACGACTACTTCCAATTTGTTCAGAAAAATTTGTTATTTTAACCCATGGAGCGCTAATTGTAAATTGTGTATCTTCTCTTTTTAAAAATGGAATTGAGTCAAATAAATTTAAAGATAATAGAGACATTGATTGAAGGCACTGGAGAAAAAAATTATTTTTTAAAATAAAAATAATTAGAATTCGGAGTAAAAACGCCTATTCGGGAGTCTTTCTGGTAATTCTTCGGTTCGTACCCCCCACTCCTTTTTCCTTCCTCAAAGTGTTAAAAAATGGTCAGTCAATCTTGTGTTATAGAACTCGTCGAGCTGAGTCGAATGACACCAAAATTGACAAAATCCGACTTACTTGGACCGAGATACAGACCCCTGAATATTGAACAACAACAGGGGCGATTTTTTGAAATGAAAAAAATTTACACAAATGATAGCTCATTTGGAAGAGCTCTTCGAGTTGAGTCGAATGACGCCAAAATCAACTCGATTGGACAAGATTTGACATAGTTATGACATGAAGTATATTTTTTAATTACCCAAGTTTGAGATTTCAGATAAAAAATCAATACGCCGTAATGGCACCCACAAAAACTGAATTACAACAAATAATGGAAAAATTGGCTGCTTTAGAATTAAAAATCGATAATAACAACACAAAATTTTCGTCTTTTTCTAATGAAATTCTTCAAATTAAAAATGCTTTAACAACAATTGAATCAAAAATTCAAACAATTGAAACAACAATTGAAACTAATTTTAAAAACAATGAGTCATCAGCAAGCGAACAAGAGCGTAACCGTTCAATTGTTGTTATTGGTCTACAAGAATCTAAATCAACAACACCATCAATTCGTGTTGTCGAAGATAAAGCCGCAATCGAAGATGTACTCAACTTGTTGGGGGTTGAGAGCCCATTCGTTTCATACAGAATGGGTAAGTATGACCCAACTGCTAAAGGTTGTCGTTTACTTAAAATTGTTTTTGGTGCTTCAAAGTTTCAGCGAATTACACTTGCTGAATGGAAACGTCACAGAGTGGAAATGAAAAAAGAAGCTAAATGGTCTCGTTTATTGATTAGGCCAAGTCTTACTCGTGAACAATTGGAAACTGAGAAAATTGAACGTACTAAGAAGCGAGATGAATACAATAAAAGAATGAGTGCCAATGTGACTGAAAGAACAAAAAACCACTAAGTGGTCGTCCAAGATTCAAGGTTTTAAAAAATTTTTTAAATAAATCCCCTTTTTATAAATGTCTTTATTTTAATAGCCGGAGCTTAGTTAACAAATTAGATGCCTTAAGATTACTTTTAATTTCTAAATCCTTTAAAATAATTTGTGTTTCCGAATCGTGGTTGAACAAAAAAATCGATAATTCCCAAATTTTACATAGTACATCTTATTCCATCGTTAGATGCGATAGAGGTTCTAGGGGCGGCGGTGCATGTATTTTAGTAGATAATATAGTTCCTTTTTCTCCCGTTAAAATTCCTAAAAATAAAAATTCCGATGTTGTAGCTATAGACATTTATTCCCCAAAATTTGACAAATTTAGAATAATAACAGTTTACCGCCCTACAACAAACGAAAATTTAAATGACTTCCAGGAACTTCTTGAGATCTTAAGTTACCTAATATCTATTAATCATAACTACATAATTGTAGGTGATTTTAATTTCCCCAATCTAATCTGGGAGGATAATATACCGCAAGCTCTCAATCATAAATCACCGTCTGAAAAATTATTTATTGATTTCGTAGAAAACTGTAATCTATTTCAAGAAATCTCTTCTCCAACGAGACAAAGTAATTATCTTGATCTACTTTTCTCCTCTTCCACCTCTCGCGTTGCCAAAAATATTACCATTAATGCCCCATTCAAAAATTCTGACCATAACACCATTGAATTTAACTTAAATTTCAATTGTTTTCCAAAAGAACCAGAATTCATTCATGACTTCCACAATGCCGATTACAATCAAATTAACAATATTCTAATCGGTTTAAACTGGAATACTTTGTTTATAAATTGTACCAATGTAGATTCTCAATATACCCTATTTTTAGAAATCATTCATCAAATTATCCAAAATTTCATACCACTAAAAATGATCAATAAAGATATTGCTAAATTCCCTAAACATATTCAAAAAATGATCTCATATAAAAACCTTTTATGGAAAAATATTAATAAACCTACTACCCGTGAAAAATACATTTTCACTCAACAGAAAATCGATAAAGAAATTTCTCGTTTCTTTAAAAATAGAGAAATCTCAAAATTCAATGATTCCCGATCTAAATTCCAGTATATAGGCGCCTTCCTTAAATCCAAAAAAACCAAAATCCCAATCTTCAACAATAACAATCAATTTACCATTTCAGCCAAAGATAAAGCCGAATGTCTCGCCAAACAATTCCAATCTGTTTTTAACTCTTCTAACTTTGACTCCTCTGACATAAAAGCTTTTAACAAAAATACTTTATCTTTTATTGATATCAATCCAGAGGAAATCTATAACATTATAAGCAAACTTGACAATGTTAATAACCTATCTCCGGACGGAATTCCCAACATTTTCTTAAAAAACACCGCAACTTCATTAACCATTCCATTAACAATTATATTTAATATGTCAATCATGACAAGTAAAATTCCGACTATTTGGAAAAAGTCAATAATCCGACCAATTCCCAAAAATAATAATCCAAATGAACCCAAGGATTTTCGACCTATCTCTCTCTTATGCTCAACCTCTAAAATTTTAGAACGGATTATCTCTAATAAATTGACTTCATTTCTTGAAACTAACAATTATCTTCCCACCTGCCAACATGGTTTCCGTAAAAACCATTCAGTTATAACTCAACTCCTAGAAACTTATAACGACTATACATTAGCTATAGAAAATAAGAAATGTGTTGACGTTATATTCTTCGACCTGGCAAAAGCTTTTGATACTGTTCCCCACGATCGCCTTCTGAAAAAACTCAATCATCTAGGCATCACTGGCGCTTTACTAAATTGGATTGAGGATTATCTGTTAAATCGAACTTTTACTGTTCTTGTCGAATCTAATAACTCTAATGAATATCCTATAACAAGCGGAGTTCCTCAAGGATCCATTCTTGGCCCAATTTTATTCATCTCATATATTTTTGATATAATAGATATCTGTGAAACAGAAAATGTAACACCCAAATTATTTGCTGACGATTTAAAGGCCTATACCTGCTTTGACTTCTTAAACAAAAATCACTATTCTCCACTCCAAAAATTTATCCAAACATTCTCAAAATACTGCGAAATAAATGGCCTTAAAATCGCTGTCAGCAAATGCAGTTCTTTTCACATAGGAACTAAAAATCCCTTCCACCAATATACTCTACAAAACATTAATATACCAATTATTCCACACAACGAACCTATTCGTGATCTTGGCATCTATTTTACATCAAACCTGAAATGGGATTCTCACATTAAAATTGTAACAAATAAAGCAACTGGAATTTATTATACTCTTATAAGATCCCTTAAAACTAATAATACACAATTCCTAATTACTTTATTCAAAATATATGTCTTACCTATCCTTGAGTTTGGATCTCCTATAATTAACCCTTATCTAAGTAAAGACATTAACGCTTTAGAAAATGTTCAACATAAATTTTTAAAAATAATATATTTACGCTCTATAAAACATAACAACAGTCCAACCTTACCTAATTATAAAGAACTCCTAGACCTATTTAAACTTGAATCTCTATCGCATAGACGTCTAAAATCTAATCTTATCCTTTTCCATAATATCATTTTAGGTAAAATTAATCTAAAACACGATAATACATATAGCATTCTCCCTACCACTACTAGAGGTAATCCACATAACCTATTTATCCCCTTTTGTTCAAGCACCATTCGGAAAAACTCATTTTTTATAGACATACCAAACATTTACAGAAAACTTCCAACAGAATTACAAAAATCGTCAATCGAATTGTTTCCAAAGCTCCTAAACAATTTTAACATAAACAATATTTTATCATAGCCACATTCCATTCAAATGTCTCCAGACCCTTAGCGATTTAAATTTAAATTATTGTCACGTTTACTTTACTTTATTTTATCTGAATGTCACGTTTTTATACGTATAAATTGAATTGAATTGAATTATCGGAGTCGGCGACTTTATGTCATAATTTTGTCAAATCTTGTCCAATCGAGTTGATTTTGTCGTCATTCGACTCAGCTCGAAGAGCTCTTTCGAATGAGCTATCATTTGTATAAACTCTCGAACCCATGGTTTTTCGCCCCTATTGTTGTTCAATTTTCAGGGGTCTGTATCTCGGTCCAATTAAGTCGGATTTTGTCAATTTTGGTGTCATTCGACTCAGCTCGACGAGTTCTATGACACAAGATTGACTGACCATTTTTTAACACTTTGAGGAAGGAAAAAGGAGTGGGGGGTACGAACCGAAGAATTACCGTCTTTCTTATGCAAATGTGCAGCAGCGTATATTCTCTCACATTGTGCCTAATAAAAAACCGGAAAAGTCCCGAAAAAAGAATCGCGTTATAAAGAAGCTGACAGCACATTTTGCCACTTCTTTCTCTGATGCTCCCCATTTCACCACCGGACTTTTCCGGATTTTTGTTAAACACAATGTGAGAGTGTACATACGCAGCTGCACATTTGCATAAGAAAATCGCGAATAGGCGTTTTCACTATGAACTCTAAAAATAAATTTTAAACAAACCGTAATAATCAAATACAAAACAAATGTTATATAAATACTTCCAGGGCCAATTAACATTATCCAAGCCATCCAAGTTCCCTCTAATTCAGCCATTATATAATCAAAAGAAAAATATAAATTAATTGCAATTACTAAAAGTGAAGTAAAAAATGCAAATACCTTTAAAAAATTTAAAAATTTTTAAAAAATTTTTTTCAAACTTGTCCAGTTAATGTTGTACAAAAATCAAACATTATTTTTCGATGTGCAGTAAATGTAATTATTGGTAATAAAGCAAAAGGTAGTTGAATCATTTGTACACAATTTAACAAGTCATTCATCCCTGTTAAATTCTGCACTCCTTGGGTTTTTAAGGCAAGAGATAATGTTGGCACAATTGCTATTGAACGGGTAAATAAAACTCTCCTCCAACGAGGCCATTTGATTTGTAAAAAGCCTTCCATGGTGAATTGACCAGCATATGTGCCTACAAATTAAATTAATTAATCCAATGGGGTACGGCCCAAGTAGGCGCGCGGCCAAGTAGGCGCAAAGTCATAACCTGCTTCAAAATTTCCGAATCTTACCAAATTTGGTATTAAACGATTCCTCTCATCGAGTTAAAGAGATTGGTACCAAAATTGTTAAGGTCCATAAATTTTTCAGATAGTTATGGCTTTGCGCCTACTTGGCCGCGCGCCTACTTGGGCGTGTCCCAATCCAATGGTGTCAAGCAGAAACAGCCAATGTAAGAGCGTTAAAGTAAATTTTCAAAAGCCACTACCTTCAAATTTTTCGAGTCTGGCCCTGAAATTTCCGAAAAAACCACTCCCTTATCTTAAAGCTTCCCCTTCTGTCCCAATTAAAATTCAAATATTATAATTAAAAACCTGTCATTGTACTACTCTGACCAGCAGCCATAATTCCAACACCCCAAACATATAGAGCAGTCAGTCCAAATTGACAACCCAGAAAAATTCCTCCTTTGTAAATATCAGCCTCTACAGGGTCTGTATTGTTTGGAAAAAGTTGTCTGTCGGGAATTGTGCTTTGACCTTCGCAACTTTTGAACTTAAAAAAATAAATTTTTTGGATTGAAAAATTAAATTTAAAAAATTATTTTTAATTTAGAAAAAAAAATTGCTTGCCAACCCACAATATCAACATTCGTTTTTCCATAAAGTCCATGAGCAAATACAGAAACAACAAAAAGATTTATAAAGAAACTGCAAGTTAGAGCAATTACACATTCAATAAAATAGTAAAGATTTGCTTCTGAAATATTTCTGCGTTGACTTCTATCAATTTTACGACTTTTTACTAGAGCGGAATGCCTAAATTTAATTTTTTAAATTTTCAAAAATTTTTTAGAAATTTAAAAAATTTACAAATAAAGGTTATGTGGCATTATAACTGCTCCAACAACACTTATTGCTTGTAAAAATTCTTTTCTGCCACAATCGGGGCAATAAGGGAGCAAAGTGCCAGAAATTAAATCAACAATGTCTGGTTTTACAACAAAAAACTTTTTAAAAAAAATTTTTAATTTTAAAAATTAAAAAAACCTCAAATCCAAAAGTTATAGCCATTGTAGCAATTAAAAGGGCAAAAATAAATTCCAATTTTCGAAACCCGTAACGGTCAATAAGTAAAAAAGTGAAGGTGTCAACCATTGTGATTAAAACACCAACAAATAGAGGAATTCTAATAAAAATAAATTAAAAAAAAATTTTTTTAAAGAAAACCTTCCATTAGAAAGCAAAGAAAAAGCAATTGCTGTACCTATAACTTCTTGCATGTCGCTGCCTAGAAAATTGAAAATAATTTTGAAAAAAAATTAAAAAACAAACATATAATTGCAATTTCAATCATTGACCAAAGAAAAAGACGAGGAACCTTTGGATAAAATTCGTAGGCCATTTCCTGAATTTAGATTTATAAGAAAATAATTTATTACTAAAAATAATTAAAAATTTTAAACTGAATTTTTTAACGAAAAGAGAATCGAAAATTTATTTTTTCAAAGAAAATCCCCAAAAATCCAAATTTCGAACCCCAAAATGGTCAATAAGTAATAAAAATAATAAAAAATATACCGCCATATTTTTCCCTGAAACGACACCCAAACGAGCCGATAACCGTTGCAGAAAGAAGCCAAGAATATGAGCCATAAGAAGTACCCAGAGAAGCTGTTAAATTTTTTATAAATTAATTTCAATTAAATTTTTTTCATACTTTGTATCTAGCAACAGTTCCTGACTGCAAATCTGACTCAATATTTCCTAAAAAATAAAACGTATAACAAGAAATGTTAAAAATGTCGTTTATGGCCCCTTCTTAGGGAAGAACTTGGGGAGGGAAAAGGGGGCCGTAAATGACCATCAAACCCAAAAAAGCCAAAAAAAACAAACCTGGATCCAAATAAGCAATGCTCATCAAAAAACCAGGTCCAGTACTTTAAAAATAAATTTTAAAAATATTCAAAAAAATTTTAAAAACTACGTACAATGCCCAAAGTTTCCTCAAACTAAAAATTGACTAAAAAACAAAAAAATATTTTAAAAACGAAATTTAAATTTTCACCTCTCCATCAGTTTCAGGAATAGCCACCATATAATCCAAAGCTTCCTCCTCTGTGCAAATAGACTCAGTCCTTTCATTTTCCGAATTTTGTTGTTGTTCTCTTTTATTTTTTGTTTGCGATTCGGACACTTCTTGTTGGTTATTATTTATTCCAGTCATTTTTAGCAGAGTTTTTTTGATGTCAAAAGGCACAGAATTTAAATTTTCTTGTTTAAAATAATAAAAAAATGTAAAAAAAGTAAATTAGTGATTCAAGGTGGAACAGAAAGAGAGGAAAAAACGTTCTTAACATTATTGGAAACAATTTGATAAGAACACATATTGATTCCCCTACTATTAAAAATGTTGCATTTGACAAAAATTAGAAAAAAATACATAATTTTTCTAAGAAAAAATTTCTAAAAAACTAGTTATACTCAAAATTAAAAATTTTAAAAATCAAAAAAATCAGAATGCCAACAAAAATAGAAAAATAATTTTTTAAATATTTTTAAACTAATGATCCCTAAAATCAAGGCAATTTTGATCAATATTTTTGTTACAATTATAAAAAATTATCAGTATTATCCTTATAGGGGAATTATAACTGTAATCTTTGAACAAAAAGCATCTATTTTTATATAAAAATATTAAATTTATCATAATAAGAAATTATCAATTTAAAAGGTAGTTTGATTGTCGGGTACCAAATAATTTTAACTAAACAATTTTAGTTCAATTGTTATCTTTATCATTCCATTAAAATATTAAATATTAAGAAAAAAATATTTTTTTACGATTTTAATAAGGGCCAAAAATGACTAAATTTACTAAATTATCTAAATAATATTAACATAATCCACGTTACATAATTTAATTTATGTTTTTATTTTTTTTGAAGAAAAGGAATGTTTAGTCCTAGTCATAGTTAGTTTAGAAATGTCAATACTGGGTATTTGTAAAGTTTAAATAAAAATAAAAAAATAACAAAAATTGTTTTCATTTTTACTGTGAGAAAAAAGGGGGAAAAAGTGAGTGCTTCCCGAGTGATTAATTTTAGATTACTCATAAGAAGGGATTAAAATGGGATAAAAATCGAAATAAATCGGCTTTAACATGCTTCAATTAAAACAAAATTTTAATAAATTTAATAAAATATTCTACCTATTCTATGTTGCTGGTCATTTGTTTGTTTAATTCTAATAGTTGGTTGGACTGTTAATAACAATTGCGATCGCTTCTGATCTCCGTTATTCACGCCACCCTTCTTTTTTGTACCTCTTCCTGGAAAAGACAAACAAATAAAAATTTTTTTTTATTTTTTAGTAATTGAAAAGGGCCCACGTAATGCAAATAACCAGTTTTCTTTCTCTCTCTCCCGAAATCCAATAAATTTTGGGCGCACTTGATCTCTCAGCGGAACTTACCCACACACACTCTTTTTACAAAACAAACAAAAAAATAATTTAAAAATTTTAAAATTGCACAAAAACAAAGCAATTGTAACCAAAGATTGAAAATTTAATCATTCAATTTTAACTTGAATTAATTTTAAAAAATATTGTAATTGAAAAATGTATAGAAACATGTTAAGAGGATAGCAACAGGAAATTTAAGAAGGGCTTTGGAAGATATGAAATTAAATTTAGATCGCCTGGCACAACTCACGGGTTGAGAATAAGTCGGATCGGGTTTAAGAGGGAGTCAGGTTTTGGACCGGATTTGGTGGTTGGGGTAAGGTAGGGGGCTGGTAACGCGTGACATCCCCGTGACTCAAATCCAGGAACCTTTTCCCATTCATTCTAATCCAGAATATTAATAAATATAAAACTCCTAACACCTTTATCAACTTCCTGATCATTTAACATTCCATCACGACATGTTCCATAAGCACTAGGATTTTGTTTAGGAATTGTTGGTAATTTTGATAAAGACGAGGATGAGTCAAATAACCACGATCTTTCATCAATCTTTGGCTCATCTCGTTTCCAAAGATTCATTTTAGGAAAATTTTAAATTGAAAATTTAAAAAATCTGGATCAAAAAGTATTTTATCAAATTATTCAATGAATTGGAAGAAAAATCAATTTTGATAGGCTTAACAATATTATATGAGAATGAAATATAAAATGGTTGATAAAATTTACAAAAAAACTGATAAGAATAAAATCAAATAATAAAAATTTAATTAATTCTTTGGGGTCTGAGCATGATGCAAAAACTAGTTAAATTTATTTTTTGTTATTTTTTTAATTATTTTTTTAATTTTTAAAATCTTCCATCTTGAGAAAAAAATTTCATTTTTGCACTTTAGAACATACAAAATCTCATCATTTCTTACGCACATATTTTTCATCTTCACTCAATTAGGGGGCCATTTTTTAAATTAAAAAGAGAATTTGGTGAATTCAAAAATAGGGGGAAAGGTGACAGCCGATGGGAACGCATCGTCATAGGAGGGGAGAACGTTCTCGCACGTCTTGGGAGGCTTTCGTTGGTTTGCGCGCTCACATCAAAACTCGCTGTGTTTTTGGTCCTCCCTCACTCAAATCAACCAGTAATCAACACAAGATCAATGCCCTCATCACAGGAAAAGGCTGGCGCAGTGATCGCTACTAAAATTAGCTATCGACAGCCGAGAACGTTGACACCAAAAGAAAAAACTGCATTATCTGAAAATAAATTTAGAGCGACAAAAACTAAATCTGCTATTCCAAAATTGTATTTTTCAGTATTATTATTTATCTTCACATGTGTGGGTGTTCCAGAATTTCAAAATAATGGTTCGCCGTTCTAAATATTTAATTAAAATATCTATTTTATTTATCAATTTACTTGAATATTTTCAAGTCTATGCTACACCTTCTCCCGTTGGACCTTGCACTATAAATTCTGGAATTGATGGAATTCCACAAATCTCACTTCCAAAATTACCCGGAATAAATCCTAGGCTGAAATGTACTGATAAAGGTGACTAATTTTTAAAAATCAGGAGAGTATTTGTCTTAAAAATCAACAAATTGAAGGATATTTCGAGTTGATACAATGCTTTTCGGATTATTGCGTTTGTGTGGATCCAAGCACAGGTAACTTGAAAAACTAATGAACGTATACGGATGATCTCCCTTTAATGATAATGATTTAATACTTAAAAATAAAAGGTGCTGAAGCAACTTCTACAAAGACTTTATCAAATCGAATCAATCCAGAATGTGGTAGATGTTACAGATCTTTAGCTCGATATTACAAGGACAGCGATGATTTTCTGTTCCGTCCTTTGTGCGATCCAAAGACCGGTACTAAACTGTAGAAGGATTAAAAATTTAAATTCTTCAGGTAACTATCTCCCCAAGCAGTGCAAAGATGAGAAACATTGTGAGTGCCATTGTTAATTATGTAGTATTTCTGTAAACATAGGTTTCTGTGTGAATGTACTTAATGGTCTCAAATTAAGCAAGGAAGAAAAACCAAATTCTCAGACTACTTGTGATGATGTAATCTCTAAAAATTCTCTCAAATTCCCTTTAAAATTTTATCCTAAAGGGACATTTTGATTTTTCAATTAGCGGAGGAATGCTTACCAAGAGTGAAAAATTACCAAGTGGTATAACTATTGAACAGCGTATTCCGATTGGAAATCCCCTTTGCAAATTGCCTAAAGACTCAGGTGAAAACCGATGCAACGGTAAAGGAAAAGGAGTAAAGGTAGGTTAAAGCTAGAAATTCCGAAAATATTTTAATAAATAGTGGTATTTTGATGTTGATACATTTGAGTGTTTAGCCTTTAACTATAACGGTTGTGGTGGAAATAAAAATCGGTTTGATTCAGTGACCGAGTGTTGGGATCAGTGTAAACTAGGTAGTACATGTAAAAATGACTGAAGCATGATTATCTAAATATTTTTAGCTGATATGGCCGGATGCGCAGGGATGACACTTCCTGCAACAAATTCTCATGGACATACAATTGTATGTTCTAGTATGGAAGCAGGAAGTGCCCCCATACAAAGCTGTCCGGCTGGTTATCGTTGTACAATGCTTGCGTTTATGGGGTTATTTTATCTTTTGAGATATTAATACAAAAATAAATTTTGTTAGTGTTTGTTGCCATTCAGCTACTCAAGGTGCGATAATACCCTCATCTACCTTCTTTACTTTTGAACCTTGTTTAAGATCTTTATGAACGAAACTACCGACCTTCTTGTCTCAATGGAAAGCATCCGCTATTAATGGAAGCTGGAGGGACTCCAGCAAATTTAATAGGCAAGGGAAAGGCATTATAATAATCTTAACGTTGAGATTCAGGCAAAAAGTGCACTGATAACTTTTGTCCTTCTAATTCAAGTTGTGTTGAAAAAGAAATTTTTTCTCATTGCTGTCCTCGATGAAGGATCAAGGATACTCTGGAAGTTTTAGCTAATAATATTTTTCACTTTCTCAAAATTCTCGGTTTTTATTATTTTGATGAATTTTTATTTTTCCTTGATAACTAAGTTTGTTTTCTTAAAAGTTCCCCAATTACAATTGACCTAGAACCCTTAATAAGCTAACCGACTGTCAATAAAAAAAGTAACGTTTACATTCTTTAAATGACCAACGTTTTGCCTTCCTTTCCTTTGCCCTTTTTTGAAGGAAAGACAAGTGCATTTCCGTCTGCCATTTTGAACAATCAATCCTTTTTTATGCTTTGAAAAACTGCTCCCGACGGAGATGGATGCGAAGAATGGGCAAAATAAAGAAAAGAAAGTGTTTTTTTGGAAATGAAAAAGTGTCGAGCAGCTGCCAAACCCTTTGCCCTTTCTTTTTCACGCAAAAATATATTTTAAACTAAAAAAAACAACACCAGAAATGACTGAAATTTTTGTTTAACAAGGCATTCGCTTTAATGCCGAAGTTTGCTTTTTAAAAACAGATGGGTTATACTATATCTGACATTTAAATTTCAACATATTCCTCTTAACATTTTTCAAAATAATTTAAAATTTAAATGATACAAAGTGCCGAACTTCCCTGTTTAGTGAGTTTCTTAATTTAGCTTAATCTATTCCTTAATTTACAGCTTAGACCAAAAAAACTCGATATTCGTCGGTTATTGCTTGCCCATTTTCATTGGTTTATAAACTTGTAAAAATTACTTGTTTAATTTTAAAAAATTACAGGAAATGCCTTATTTGTTCCTTGTTGATAAGCTTATGTTCTATTCACATTAGTTATTGCCAGATTTATGGGCCTAAGGGTATTCAGGACTTATTAAAGTATGTATGTCACAATGTCCCAATTAAATTTTAATGTAAATTAAGTCAAACAGCTCCAGGCCCTTGTTCACATGGATATGATCTGATTCCAATGGCATTAGCTGGATTACTATATGCAATTTATCTGAGCGAATGCTGGTTTGAAATTATTCTGACCTTTTTTATTATCAGAATTATATCAAAATAGGCATTACCGAACTCTTTTGAGCATTATACCTCGAATGGGTGCCTGTCAAGCTAAGGATCTCGCATCAGCAATGAGAGATGCCGTCCCAATTGTTTGGTGGAAAAGTACGAGCTATCACTATTTGCGTAGGACTCGACGAGTAATTCGGTTAAAATGCTTAATTCAAATGTCGATAAATTCATTATATCCAGATACCGTAATGGTGATGCAACCACTCGAATCCAAGTGTATTATGAACGAGTAAACTCGCACCAGTCAGGCAATGTTTTCCTTTCTGAACAATGTGGGCATAAGGCAAGGTGGATCAAAGTTTAATTTATCAACATATCCCTTAAGGATCTAACTAAAGAATTAGATGGTCTTGAAGATTTTGCTGTCGTACGCATGCGTTTTACCAAGGGTTTTTTGTTTGCAACAGTAGAAGCAGCTAATGAATTTGAGGAACAACGTACACGCTTTTTTACAGAAAATGAAATGCTAGATGAATATATGGAGGCTAGTAATTGTATTAGTAATATTGAAAACATTTTAAAACTAAGGTCCGAGAAGGACTTGATTTGGCCAATTTGCCATTCCTCGAAAGGGTATTAGTTATTCGAGATAAAACTAATGAACGGAGACTGCAACGTCGTCGAAAAGCGCAGATTCTGAATAATAATAACAATAATTTGACAAGAGCGCCAGATGTTTTAAATCCCACTCATGGCCAAGAACAACAAGAGGAGCAACGCACATTACTTTCACCTCGCACCTCATCATTAAACGACCCTTGGTGGCTTTCACCATGGGTGTTCTGGCCAGCAAGTATTTTCCTTCTTAGTTGGCCATTACGAGTATTATCTTAGTAAAGAATTATCTAATGCTTATTTCAATATTTATAGATGTTAGCTGAATATAAAACTGGTTATGTACACCTCCAAGTGTGTAAATTATTTGGCACCAACTATTTGAGGTAGCTACTGTTAATAATTTATCCTATTTCCATATTTTATTCAGCCCTTCGAGCATCAATTATACTGGTCCATTAACACGCACATCTACGATGGATAGTCATGAGTTGAGCATGGCAAACCGACAGAACTATGTTGTTGTTCCAAGCTATAGTGAAGCGATATTGCTTGACCCATATAACAACACTCAATTGCCTAATTCTGGAAGATCCCAGGTGACTAGGAATGCACAAATATTTGAATTTTCGTTATAGTTTAATCCAAGTTCGCTGCTACGTCAGTTATTTTCCTCGCCTCATAGGTCATCAACAGCTCAACAGCAAGTTAGACAAGGTCAATATGGGTCAACAGGACATCATTTTATGTTAAGGATGGCTTATGGCGAAGGTTCACCGAAACCATTGAGGCCCACACGCAGCGCAACCATAGCTTGTTTCAATACTAGTGAAAAATTACAAGTACATAACAATGCAACGCGTAGACATCTTCCCCGTCCATCAACATTATTTGACAGACGACAAATCCAATTCCCACGTTCTATAACATTTTCAGAAGGAATAGGTCCGAGATATAATAGTCTATCTAACGAACAGCAAAATGTTGGAGAATGTTCGGACAGAACACCTCTTTTACAACAACATTTAACAATGGAAATAAATGAGCAACCCCCTCAGGATGGGGAACCTCCACCACCATATGAGGCAATTTTAAATTACAATCCATTTTGATTATTTAAAACTTGATAGATTGCCCTACGTTATTGTTCGCCAATCTATCAAAGAATACAACAATCAGCTCATTCAATATCCTCGCTTTTTACATGGTCAAGAAGGGTGTCTCATACTTAGAAATAATGATAGAAACTTGTTAAAGTATTTCAATAGAATTTTATTTGACAGCTCAAGCTCTAATGAAAACTGCTATAAAATATAAATAATTGTAGTTGAAAGCAGATCTGCTCATGGACACGGGTTTTAGTATAGTATCTGGATATGCACGACGGATACATGCGGATATCCGCAGGTATCTTGATATTATCTGTATCCGTGAGCAGGTCGTTGAAGATTAATTTAACTAAAATCGAATTCGAAAGATTTTAAGGAGTTCAACTACACTAAATACAATTAAATGGAAAAATAATATAAATATTTAAATCTTTAAATAATTAAAATGGAATTTTTAGATAATTAATGAATGGCACATTAAAAGATTATAAGTGAAGATATTAGCTGTTTTTTAAGTGAGCGTAATTGTGGATAGATTGCTTTTACATAGTTTTAGGAATAAAAGACAGATTTATGATTAAGTTAATCTTAGGATGGTTGGCGTTTCCGGTTATCCGGAACCGAAAATCCCACAGATATCGGTGAATTTTCGGTTCAGATATCAGTTCCGGATGTCCGGAGATTTCCTAGAAACCGCCAACATTAATCTTAGGGGAGAGGATGAGCAATAAATCTAGGTATATGGCTTTCAAACAAGTCTATTTTTACGTTCATAAAATGCAACAAGATCATAAATAAATTTGTATTGTTGGGGATTTTTGACAAGTGACCTTAATTTTAAAGAAAAATTAAATAATTAAAAGTAGGACATACATCCGTTGATATCTCAAGTCTCTTAGAAGTTGTGCAACCTCCAATGTCTGAACAATAATACATAAATTATATACCTACATATGTATTTTTAAACTCACAATATTATTTTCCATGCTTCGGATTAGCACTTCAGAGAGCAAATAACTTAAAAAAATTTGAGTAAATAGGTTAACTGAATGTTTAATTCCTTCAAAATCCCCTCCCCCCAAAAATCAAAAAAAAATTAAAATCAGTCCTTACAGTCCACTATCGCTACCGCCATCGGTACATTGGATAATAGTCAGAGGTCCCTGGCTTAAATATAAAAAACATTAACGTATTTAACTAGGCATAGAAACCTAGCATTTTGTTGTTGAACATCAATGCTTTGTTGCTGATGTTTAGGTGATGTGTTAGATGTTTGTTTGCTTGAAGCTCCGTTTTGATCAAAACGAAGTTTCTTTCTGGCCCAGCCACCGCTCTCTGATGACTGAGCTCGTTCACAGCGAGAAGCGTCACTTGACTTTAAAAATGAGTTAATTAAAAAAGTTTAAAGTTGTTTCCAACTCGGCTGTCCTTAGATGTATTAGAGTTGGATTTGCTAACAACAACTGAGGATGGTGTCCCTTTTGCATCAGTTAAATCCTTGTTGTGATCCTCTTTTGTTTTAATTTCATTTTGAATATGTCTTTTGAGACAAGAGGCTGCATCAATAAGTCCAATAAAGGTATCCTAAACATAGAAAATTTGAGAAAATCTGCCGAAACAACGCTTCACCCTTACAGGTGCCAATAATTTACCGTAAATGCTCTAATAAAAACACATCTCCAATTGAAGCACATCTCTAATATAAGCACACCCTACGAGAGGATCGAAAAATACAAGCACAGTCTCTAATTGAAGCACAGTCTCTAATATAAGCACACCCCTAGTATTTTAGTGAAAAAGCACCTCATTTCTGCATTTGAGGGATATAGAGGTATAGAGGGATAATATTATTATAATCCCTCTATATCCCATTGAGGGATATAGAGGGATTAGAAGTGATTAAGTGGGGGGGGGGATTAGAAGTGATTAACCTCTATACTATACTATTAACAAGTATAGTATAGAGGATTCAAGGAGATAACGAGAGATTGGGAGGTAGGAATTTTGGGTATTAAGAGGGATATCAGTAGAAATCTAAGGATTTTGACACCAATATCCTCCTTAATCACTTAAAATCCGCTTATATACCTCGATATCCCTCCAAATCCATCATAACCTTCTTGATCCCTTGATGTCACGCACAAGTCCCTTAATGCTCATTTTAATCCTTCCAAATCCCCATATATCCCTCTCATTTTTTTATTTTTATTAAACTATAGGGGCTTGTTTGATGTATATACAAGTGGGTCTCTAAATTAAGATAATGAAAATGCAATTGAAAGCGATAATTTGATTCAAATTTAATTTATGGTTTGTGTTATGTAGGGTATATATTTACTTTAAAAAATGAAAAATAAATCGAAAAATACAAGCACAGTCTCCAATTGAAGCACAGTCTCCAATATAAGCACACCCTACGAGGGGATCGAAAAATAGAAGCACTGTGCTTCTATTAGAGCATTTACGGTATATTCAAAAACCCCTTTAAGATTAAGTACCATAGATGATGGAACTCCTTGTTCAGTAAAATCAGCACAATATAAATGATAAATTGTACGACGCTCGCCATGTCTGGCAAGTGTAAATGTTGTTGTTTGTTGAAACATCTGCATTTGAGCTGGTTGGCTAACATTCTTAAGGCGGAGGAAAAAATCTCCAACAGTTAATTTAGCTTTAGCCTGGCTAGGAATATAGCTGGGAATTGTGTCGTTTTTGTTGACCTGGTGAGGATTGACTAGCATTACTAAAATTTAATTAAAAATTAGCTACTCAATATTAAGCTAGAAACCAATTAATCTTGCTCCAGTTTGCCAAACCATCTGCCAGAAATCCTCAATAGTTTTCTGTATGGGTGCTTGAGAGATAACATAACGCAATTGTATGTTCCTACCGATAGGAACAACAACCTCTGAAGCATTAATGTAACCTTAAATTTGATTATTAATTCAAAATCTAGGAAATTCAAACCATCTGGGTTCGAATTTGTAACAGCCAATCTTAATCTATTTTCATTATATGGATAGATTTTGCTTCCTCTATTTCTAACTAAATTGTGTGATCGGACAGCGACTGAATAATCAGCTGATAAACTCTTCGCTGGAATTCCGGAAAATTCAATTTCTGCAAACTCAGGCAAAGATTTTGATTGATCAACGCTGTTATTGACACCATTATTTGTCTAAATTTTTAGAAAATATTATTTATAATCGTTCAAAATATAAACCATTTGCGTTTCTGAATGCGACGAAGTTGCATTGGATTTTGGACTAGATCGCCGACTTTCCTCTTGTAAAGGGATAGCTGCTGGTGAAGGTGGCGAATTTGTTGTTGGAGGGTAACCCTGTACGGTAAGTTGAGGGGGAATTTGAAGGGCTGATACATGCCCTAATTGGGGTGATTGCTGCAGTATTTGTTCCATAATTGATGTAGAAGAGGGTGGCGGTTGGACATACGAAGCAGCATCTGGCGGTATTGGATAGATAATAGTTTGTTGCTGACCATTCTCGTCGATTACTTGTCCTTGAGAGAAGGGCCCATTTCTTATAGCGATTGGACTGTTTTGTAGATAGAAGGATGTGTTACTGCTGCTTCCAACGTCTGGATTAATATTGTGATGAGATGTGGTAGTAGATGAAGGTGGGCAATAAGGGGGTAACAAATTAACATTTCCAGCGATTGGAGGTGGGTAAACAACGGAAGAAAGTGAAGTTTGGCCTGGAACAATTCGATGCCCTCCAGAGCCATTCATTTGAGAGGGGGGAAGTAAAGGTGTTTGAGGCTGTGATTGAGGTTGTTGCTGCTGTAATAATTGAAAGCTTGCAAGTTGTTGTTGCTGATTTAAACGTGCAGAATGTAGATCTGGTGTAGAAGTAAATATCTTGCGCGTTAGCGAGAAATTGTTGACATCCGCTACAAAGTTATTAGCATTCAATGCCCCTCCAATTTGATGTTTTTTGCATTTAGCTCCAGATGCTGCTGAAACACTTTTGCCCAAAGTATTAATTTCAGGACTGGAACCAATCTAAAAAAGAAAGGGAGGTTAAAAACAAGCTAGCTTTACTTTATTAAGTCGACGTCTTTCTGTCAGCATTCGTTTAAGCACTTCGTGCTGTTCATGACGTAACCAATCCTCTTGGCTTCCATTTGAAGTTTTTTGTTGCTGGACTGCTGTGCCAGGGAATTGTAGAGGAACTGCAGGCACATAAAATGTTGATGCACTGCTTGAACATGTGCCAGCGACTGGAGGCGAAACCTTATCAGCAACATTTGTAATCTGAGTCCGAATAAATGGAAGAGCTGAGGAACTGTTTGATCCACCAGCCATAAAATCAGCTGAAGCTGGAGGCAATATTTTGCCGATAGAAATTGAACGGGATGCAGAAAGGGCCGCTAAATATTTACAAATGTAATACAAAAATAACTAATATTTTTACAATTAGATTGAGGAGGTCGAATAGGATTGCAGGATTGTATAGAATTAACTGTAGATTGGCTATTCTGATCTGTACGAATTGTTAACTGAGGTGTCGAAGGTTGGGGTGGAATGAATTGTGAACCAGCAGCTGTAAATTCAGAACCTACAATCATTTCAGAATTTGGACGTACGGAATTAACCTTAATATATTTTGAATTTTCAAAAGTATTTTTGGTAATACATTTGTATTAGATCGACGGGTAAATGAGCCAGGTGCTTGGCTAAATGAGGGTAGGGCACCCTGCAAATTCTGGACGCTTAATCTGGCACTTCTTTGTTGTAGCGCGTCTGTACGTGCATGTCTCCACTTCCAACTAAGTACAGTAGATACATAATTACACTAAAATTTTTTAAATTAAATTCCTTGATAATTCAACAAAAAATAGAAAAATAAGCACCATTTCATTGTCCTCCTAAAAATTAAAAATTGTAATTACAGATTAAGCTCGAGAAAACTCACAAAATAAAAGACAGATGTAACTAAATTTTCCCCACATTTTATTGATAATTTGCGTTTATTTGCTACTAGCTCGCGAACTTCCTCCCATCTGAAATTCAAAACGAAAGCTAATGATTTTGAATCTTACTGAAACCTAAATTTTTGTGTTGTACCACTCGGTCTACGAATAACAAAAATCCAATCAAGTGAACAACCAAGTGTGATTTCTTCGAGCGAATTTCCATCCTAAGAAGTTAAGGTAATTTCAGCAAGGGTTTTAAGGCTCTACTCACTTTGCAAAAGAAAGTTTCTTCACCGTAACCCTCGCATTGTTGAACTTCCACCTAATGATTTAGACAATTATACCCTGAATTATTCAGAAGCTAAACCCACAATATAAAGAAGGGCAGCATAAGCTGGCTGCATTGTATGAAGCTTTTCATATGTCTAAAGTCAGGAATTTTAGCTATAAATTGTTCCAAATTAATTAGACTTGCCGTCAAAATGCGCAAGTAGGTCTCGTCATTATTAATCTTAGGATTTCGGCACATACTCTACATATATTAGATTTTATTTATAAAATAATAATTGTATCTACCTGAGGCAACAGACTGAGCATTTTGAGATGCTGAACAGTTGGCCTAAAATCGGGAAACTCGATTTGGAGCTGATAAGCTGCTGAAATAGTTAAAATCAAGGATAATTTAAAGACCAATGAAGGCAAACCAAGATTTATGCACTTGTCCAAATCAACTGAAAAGCGTTCGCCTTGAAGCACATCCCACTTAAGTAATGTGTAATAGATAGATCTGAAAGATGCTCAGCAAAAATTTATGTTTCATTAAATCCGACTTGCCTGGAAACCGAGTCATGAAGAGTGAACACCTTAAACATTCAAAAAAAAGTTTGCTTTAATTACTCTAATTAGTCTATAGCTCACATTGGAACATGCATGAAGTATCGCTAGATTTACTGCCCATTTTTGGCCCCTACGACATGCCCAACGCTCAAGCTGTCGACGTATTGGCCGGCCTGGCTCAATCCACCTCATCATTCTCTTCTCAGTATCCGTTGCTTTCATTTGATATTGAAGACCAAAAATTTTTGGCTAAAGTTTTAGTTTATTCATTAAAATTTAGCAATATTTTGCCTGTCCTAATCCAGTCTTTTCTCCAAGATAACGAAAAACGTCAGCAGATGTTGACGCACTGTTTAGTGTACACTGAAACAAAATGTACAATTATTTTTAAGATCAAAGCCTATATCTTTTGATCAAACTTTGATCAAAGCTCTATAATATTTTAACTATCGAAATTTATAACCTGTGCCATAGGAAAGTCGCCGATGAAGACAGTAAGAATCTGTAGGGATAAAATTTCTAATAAAAGTATTTTTCGACGGTATTTTCTAGATTAATTTCCCTGTAATTAATATGTATTTCAACCCATCGGTAGGATGGGGAATTATTCGAGTTTTGGAATTTGAACGTGTAATAGAGAACTTGGTGTAGGGGAATTATTGTTTAAACCCATTTCTGGCATGTTAGAGGGTGGGGAATTAGAGAAAATACGGCATGGTGGATCTAGATGGTCGAGATTTGACTTATCTTTCTAAAAAATCTTTCTAAAATTCTTACATAAATATCCTCGCTGAGTTCATATCGTCCACTAGATCGTCCCAACTTTAATTTCAAAGGCATCCGAAGCATTATTCAAATTTAATAATTTATCCTCATTCCTTTAACTAAAAAAATTGGAAAGCTGAACGTCAAAATATTTATAAAAACGCGTTGATCAATGCTGATATATAACTCTCTCATTGCAATTTATACAAATAATGTGAAATAAAAAAAAGAGGAGCAAGGGGACAGGGCAATTAATGAATGATGATCATTTCTATGAGATGTAAAAATGACACGCAAACATTAAATATAATCATAGGAATGTAAATAAAAATATTTAACAATAAGTTTAAAATATGTTAAACACACACACACACATATTTTTAAAAAATTAGTGGAAATGAATGGATAAAAATTCCTGGTTAAATTCCTAATACCTAAATATTTGATTAAAACTTTGATCAGATTTTTATAAAAAATAGACGAAATTTTTCGACAGCGTATCTGCTTTATCTGGCCTGCTTCATTATTATCAATTCTGTCTTTATTAGACAATTTTCTTGGCTAAATTGCCATATTTGACGATTAATTTCCCTGAGGAGTTAATTATTCGATGGAAGGGAATTACTGTTCGAGTTTTAAAATTTTAACGGGCAATAGAGCACCTGGGGAAGAGAAATTGTTTCAACTCATCCTTGGGATGGAGAATTAATTAAGAGTGGGGAATTATTAGAGGGTGGAGATGCCCTATTAAGAATAGAAGGGAAATTAAATTTGGTATTAAAAAGGATAAAATGTCTAATATAAATAATAACCAGCCGGTAAGAAAGGACGCTTTAAACAAAATATTGAAAGAAAAATAACAAGTAATTGAGATTAATTCTCTAAATTTTTCTAAATTTTATTGCCGTACATTTTTAATTTCTTAATGTTACTAATTTTAGAAGACATTTCAAATTATAAGAATATTTTTAGTTGATTGAGTAAATATTGGTTGGTAAATTCCAGAGGGGAATTAGAGCAAAAATATTTACGGAAAAGAGAAATTCATAAAAACATGCAAAAGATAAGAACAAGAAAAAATATAAATTCCTAAAAGATGAACACAAATTAGGGAAGAATATTTGGCAGTAAATATAATAAAACTAGATAAAAAAATTTTTTATTTTTCTAATAAATTGCGCATAGCTTCGCTAGCTTCTGAAAGCTTAAAACCGATATAACTGCGACAATCAACAAACAAAAAAATTTTTTTTATTTTCAGTTGTAGCAATCGAATATATTTAACTAAACGATAGAGGGGGAAAAGACAAAAATTCCATAACCCCTCACATTCCCTTTCTCTCAAATAGTTTACCCCACATCATATAGCGCATTCCTAAATTCACATAGCCGCAGCGCTTCACAGCACAATCATCTACAAACATGGTAATACTTATGGTTGTTGACTGCTCCGCATTCCATCGACCGGACGACCACTTTTGCCCGTTGAATAAAGGGTTTGGTAGAAGTAAAGCAAAAGTGGCTCTGCTAGAAGGCAAACAGCTAGTAGTAGTGAAAAGCGAGCGCAGCGATCGACAACGATGAAAATGCGTGGGAAATCAATGAAGCAAATATTATATAAAGTCGATGTGAAAATATTTTTGGAGGTAATAATAGTAAGGTCATTTGTAAAATACTACTAAATATTGTTTAATGAAATAATCTTGCTGGTCACTACCAATTAAAATCATATAAAAATGCACTTTATCAAAAGATAAGGAAATTAAAATTATTGTTTGTCTTGAAGCTTTCTCAAATTATAGTACAGAGATTACAAAATTAACCAGTGAACTGTTCACAATTAACCCGAACTTAGGAATTAAAATCAAGAATGGACCCTAAACTATATAATATGATAAAATACATAGAACCTCTTAGCTGCCAATGATGAACTGTGCGACGAAGCGATTGGACCGGAGAGGATGTGATCTTGTTCATTATTCGGGGTTGATCAAGTTCCATAGACTCTTCCCAACACCAAACGCTGATAAAAGAGCTTTATTCACGAATTAGGAAATGCAGTGTTTCATATGTGTGTTCCCGAATTAAATAAATAAAAAGACTTTATTCAAGCAATTTCTCTTTGAAATAAAAAAAATAACAAAACAAACGGAAATTTTGTATGAAAAAATGTTCCAGGAAATAGACACAATTATACATTTAGAGGAGGTTGTAATAATCACTGAAAATGGAGTCCAAAATTATCTTAAACTCTAAAAAAGATAGCAAAATATTAGTGAAACTTCTCGAAATCAAAGACTCCATCCTCCAATTTTTTACTAAAAAAAGTCTAAATATTTTAATAAAATGATTTTTTGGTAAAATTGGGATAAATCACAGCGGAAACTAAATAAAAGCCGGAATGCGCTTAATAAATTAGCTAATAAAATTACTTTTGATATTATATCAGAAACGAAGGTCCATCCAGGGCTGGGCTAATTTCGCATTTTCCAGCCCAGAAAGTTTCGCTTTCACGTTTTATTTTTTTAGCCCAGCCCTGGTCCATACTTAATAAATAAAGGATAATGTAAATGAAAAAAGTGACTGCCATACATAAAAACGATCAAAAATAAAATTAGAGGCATCACAGGATTCTAGAGAATCAGAAATTAAAGAAAACCTTGACCTTGACGTAAGTTAAATCAAGGAAGACCAAAAAATTCCTTGATCTTAACTTTGGTTTTAAGTCAAATCGAGGACTGGATTCAGATCATGACCGATCTCAATAGGATTCAATTCGAAAATTTTGTTTGGCAGCCATGGGAGAAAGAAAAAAAGTGATAATATGCTAATATCATTGAAAAACATTAAAAAAAGGTGAGTTTTGGTACTTTAAAAACAAGAATAATATTTTTAAATTAAATTAAAAAATACCAAAATACAGAGAAAGTTTTGAAACAGAGTACCTAATCCATTGAAGAAATGAGTCTGAAAATAACTTGATTGATAAAGTTTAAACGTCAACCAAAGCAATGACTTTGATCACTTGTCTTTCTGAAAGAAAAAATAATTTTTTACTAAATTTTAAACAGAAAAACGGCTCCCAGAAATTTTGGGTAGGGGCATATGGGGAAGTATGTTGGCAAGGACACAAGTTTTGACAAAGTTATGATAAATTAAACAAAGTAACTCTATTAGAGGAGGCGAGACAGGCAATGGCACACGTCTCGCTGGAATCAACGGTTGCTAGACCCAAAAACATAACCCCATTCCTAGCTCATTGCATCTGAAAGGTGGGCGAGTTATTGTTAGTCAACAACGGGTGGGTGACCCCTGTATCCACTCCCCAAATATCCGAACACGAAAAAAACTAACGTCACTGCCAGAACTCGTTTTCGCAGCCTTCTTGTTCTTGAAACCAAATCCACTGCTTTTCTTCTTTCCAGCAGAATGAGCTGCCTGTTCACGGCCCTTTTCGCGCCATCGACCAATGTGGAAGGTAGAGAAATTGAATAACATCCAAAGTTGAATTAATACAATTGCAATTAAACTATTTATGCTTAAAAATTAATAAAAATATTGAATAAATTGAAATTAATTTTCAAACCGAATAATTTTTGTGTTAAAGTTTCCTGCCTCAAAATCAATAAAGACAACTTCGCTTTGTCTGTGTCCATACCAGAGAGCAATCACACCAAGCACAATTGAAACTAAAAAATGATTTGATTATAATTTCGGGAACAACACAGAAAATTAACACCAGAAGGTCCGCCCCAGATTTGATCAGCTCCCAGAAGGTCGCCCAGAGGTCAACTCCAAATATTGAGCGGATAAAAAAGGATTTATGGGAATAAGAGTCATAAAACGGAATTTCACTCGAGAAACTTTCAGTTAAGTCAAAAGGGAACAGGAAAACGTATTCTTGAGCCCCTTTCATCCGTCAAAATATTTGAGTTAACCTTCTGATTCATTTTATCAATAGGTCGATTATGGAGTAGACTGACCATTTTGGAGTGGACCCATAAATTCTAATAAATTTTTAAAAATTTACCAAGACGAGTAATCAAAAAAACAAAATTCCAGGGCTTGAATCTAAAATTTAACAATTAAAACTAGAAAAAATATTTAAAAATACGCAGTAGAAGCAGGGAGTACTTTTCCAGAAAAATAAAGAAGACGGCTTGTATGGAAGATTCCTTGAGACAAGTATTCAAAAGACAATAAAACAAGCCTGAGTCGAGTAAAACTAAAAAAATTATAATAAATAAAACGTTTAAAAAACAAACTTTGCAAAATAAAAGAAACAAGAAGCCGTTATGAAAATTGTGAGGTAAACAAGTCTATTGAAGATTTCCTCGCGTTTCAATTTTTGAAAATAAAATTCTGGAATTTGATGAAGCCAAAATGATATCTTAAAAGAAAAAAGGTTACTTTGTCCATATCCCACCCCTAATATTTAAAAATGAAATCAAAAACCTGAAAAATGTAGTAAAGTTTGGTAGAGAGGGAAAAATGCCGATGAAGTTCTGGATAACCAGTCCAAATTTTGGTCTAAAATAATTGGAAGTTTAAGAAATTTAAGGTTAAAAGTTACCAAATCTTTGTGAATTTCCATTTCATTTAAAATGCTAACAGCGTGGCAAATAGAGTAAATGCTAAAAACTGCCGTGTGACCGCTCTCGTTGAATTTAACTTGACGTGTTTTTGACAAATGAAGACGTCGTTGAACTTTATCAAAAATATATTCCTGAAGTGCACAGTGAACAGCAATCCAAACAAGAGTATAAAAGAAAATTGTAAACAAATCACGAATCCCATTCCTGTAAAGGATCCTTGATTCTTAAATAAAAAATAATTTTTAGAGAAAAAATATTAAAGAAAAAGGTAAACGTGGAGTTTACTGATCCCTAGAAAAATGAGGGAGTGTTTTTTAGATATTTTTCAGGATTGCTAATCAAGCAATGATTCCGAAGATGAGGTTGAAATTTGTCTATTTCGAACCCACGCCCCGAAAGCGACCTGGTAGAAAAATTCTAAACTCAGATTCGGAATCAGCACTCAATTATCTACTGGACAACCTGAAAAATATCGAAAGAGCATTCTTCCCGCGTTTTTCCAGGAGCAGTAACTACACATTTACAAGAAAGAAACCTGTTTCATTTGGCAATGTCAACGTGTCGTTATATTGGGGAACAATGAAAACCTGAGCGAGTGAAGTTGTTGCATTAAACATAAAACCAAGCATAATAAACATAATTACACATCTTAAAGATTTTAAAAGAAAATTTTAAAAAAACCTCATAAAAACATACGAAATAATGTCACCATGATTTTGAATAATAAATTCATGGGAAAATATTGGGGGGCTCTTTTTTCGGCTCATAGCCGCTCTTTTTGCTTCAATTCCCATTCTCTAAAAGTTTAATTAATTAAAAAGGCTTTAAAATTAGACAATGAAGCTAATCTTTAAATGAAATACTTTAAAAAGTTAGACATGGCGTCACAAATCCAATTACCCGTGTCCGGACAAAATATCGAATCGTTAAAATATGGAATAGGCTAAAAAAGGGTTAAAATCTCGAATCGGGTAAAAATGGGTTAAAATCGCGAATAGGCTAAAAAGGGGTTAAAATACCGAATCGTTAAAATATGGAATGGTTAAAATATCGAATAGGCTAAAAAGGGGTTAAAATGTCGAATCGTCAAAATATCGAATCGATAAAATGTCGACACGGCCAAAATAGGTCAAAATGTCGAATTATTTTAAAAATTGTGCTAAAAACTAGAACCTGGACGGTACCGTAATACCGACGGTATTTTTCGGTATTTATCCGTATTCCGTATCGGTAGTACGGGCGGAATACTGACCGATAAAATTTAAAAGGTGAACCGTATTTTTCGGTATTCCGTACCGTGGTACGGTACTCTAATTTTTCCGGATCAAGAAATCGCGTTGTCTTCCGGATCCGCACGATCATGCCGGACCGGATCCGGTCGAATTTCTTGATTTATCCGGTCCGGTTTTACTCGGTAAAATACACTGAACTCAGATATTCCGTACCGTTTTTTTCGGTATTTTAACCCCAACTTATCAGCAGTAAGTTGATAAAATTATCAACAATCAACGTATGACCCTCATCTGACCCTTTTTTAAAGGAATTCGACATTTTGACCCATTTTGGCCGTGTCGACATTTTAACCATTCCATATTTTAACGATTCGATATTTTAACCCTTTTTTACCCGATTCGACATTTTAACCATTCCATATTTTAACGATTCGGTATTTTAACCCCTTTTTAGCCTATTCGCGATTTTAACTATTCCATATTTTAACGATTCGGTATTTTGTACCGGAGCCCAATTACCAGCCGATTATTTTCTCTTCTCTAACACTATGTAAGCTTTTGGCGTTCTGAAATTTTTGCAGTTTGATTACTGTATAGCGTTAATTTGAATTAAAAGAAACTTCAGTCCCATTTCGTCCCACTGAATTAAAATCCCCAATTCGGCTCTCCTCAATTCGTCACAAAATGCAAACAATTCGTCCCAGTTGGATAATAATTGGTAAAAATGTTCTAATGAACTTAGGACCGGATAACTCTTATATCATTCGAAAGCCCTCGAAAGGTCCTATCATTTTTTTCAAGCCGGATGGATCAAGTCTTATCACTGCTTAAAAAGTTATGGCTCTCAGTATTAAGCCCTATCTACTCTCTAAATATGGACATTTAAATAAATTCCACGGATTAATGTAAATTTGAAAAATAATTTATAAACATAGTATGTGAGCTTTCAAACATTCCTTCATTCTAAACACATGGCTTTTCTCATTTATTTTTCACACAACTGAAAGAATTGACTAAGTAATAAAAAGTTTTGTTGTTTTTATCCATCCGCTAACAGTTGTTTTCAATTTCAAAAATAACAAGCAAGATTTAACAGAACATCTTGGCAAGCATATTAATTGTGTTTCTTTGATAATTTGTTTATTTTTTTCTAATATTTTTCAATCCATTTTTCAAATTTTGAAATCTCCAGCTTTATAATGGCTAATAAACCTATTTCTGTACTGCTTATTCTCTTCTTATCCGTCCCACAGTTTAATGCAGATCAGGGAAATGAAGAAGATCCAGAAGAAAAGTCACGATATCAACAATATGTGAACGAGCAGAATTACGTAATTAAACCGAAATAAGTTAATTATACCCTTAATACTTGTAGCATATTCCTTTCAAAACACGCATCAGTGAGCCTTTCAGAGAGTATCAAACAGTGCACGCTGTAGGAAAAGTTAATGCCGACCCAAGGAGGTTAATCTTGAGTGTTTTTGAGTTAGATTGAATATTTTTACAGGGTGGATTTAAATTTCTATAAAGGTGGGAATGAAAATGATGATATGCCTTTACATCTTTCAGTCAGATTTGATGAAGGCTTGTTTAAGGGGAATGTGGTGTTTAACACCCTTGTCAATAAAAATTGGTCAGAGCCGGAAGAGCGTGTTCAAAGTCCATTCAAACCAGATGATGAATTCGATATTCGGGTTCGAATTTTGCCAGGAAAATTTCAGGCAATACTCTAATTTAGTAAAATATTTACTAATATTTTTATTAGGTGTTTGGTAATCGTATCGAGATGGGGACTTTCGATCAACGCATCCCTTTATATGGAGTATAAAATTGAAACTTCAAATTATTATTTCATTATATTTTAATAAAGGTTAATCACGTATCATTACTTGGAGATTTGAAGAGTTTACGAGTTTTCCACTATGGAGGAACTAAATTCCCGAATCCCTACAATGCTATTGCCAAACTTTTGCCGGGTAAGTTGAAAAATTTAGCCCAACATACAGTTATTTCGAATATTAAGGAATGCGTCTTGATATATCCGCTATGCCGTTAGGTAGGAATATCTCATCCTTCAGCTAATAATTTTCTTGAAACTAAAGGAAATCGAGTTAATTTCAACCTGTACAAGACTAACAACGACATAGCGTTGCATATTTCTATACGATACTCCGAAGGCATTATTGTTCGCAATTCAATGATATCAAATCAATGGGGGGATCAGGAAATTGAAGGCAGTCTTCCATTGGCAAAAAATGAAATGTAACTTGTTTCTTATTACTTCAGACTTACTAAAATATTTTCAGTTTCGACCTAACAATAATAAACGAACAAGCAAACTTTCTAATTTTATTTAACGGCAAAAAGTTTTGTAATTTTGTGCATCGTTCTCAGAATTTTGATATTGAAACATTAGAAGTAGATGGAACTTTTGAATTACACACAGTTACAATTAACAACGCACGTTAATCACTTTTTTTTATTTTCCCCTAAATGTTGCGACTACTTCATTCAAAATTCAAAACACCACTATTATTATGTTTATGATCGCTAGTGACACCCCGTGGCCGATAAAAAATTGTTTACATCTAAAATATTACAAATAAAATTCACGAACATTAAAATTTCTTGTGATTATTTGTCCCGTCGTTTCTTATCATTAAGCTATTTTTTCTTTTTAATTTCATTGAAAATAGTAAAGTTAAAGATAGCATTGAAAAACGCCCTCAATTTTGGTCCTAATCCTTCTCTATGGTGTAATCTTTGGGTTAATCTACTAGATTAGGCTGTTAATCAGTTTAGCTCCGAAATCCATTTCCTTTCAATTATGTATAATTTTTTCATTTATAATCAAATTTATTCAATTAATCTGATAAAATATTGGTTTTTATAAAATTATTAAAGCTTAATTCGTGTTTACCTCACACATTGAGTTAAAAAATATTCACACGTAATGTTTTTCATATTGAAAACGGAAATGCCATTTAATGGTTAGGTTCAAGTTTAAATGTCATAATTCTCTAAATTTATTCTCTCTTAATTATTATAACCATATTTTATATGTTTAATTCTTTTCGATAAAGTAAACTAGAATAAAGTTTGCAGCATGACATTTCACACTTGCCCGGTTTCCCGTGAGTATTCTCAAGTTAAATATTACATTTGCATATTAGCAAATACATAGCGTGCACCCAGTCTGGAAATAAATAAAATTATATTTATCCCCTTAACTTCCATTTATCCATTTTTTCTCCTACTACAAATGTGTAAGGCTAACGTAGCAGTTCAGTTGGCCCCAACCCTTTAAGTCATGAAGGGATGGATCATTTTTAGTGATCTTGGTACCATTATCTCTATGCAATGGTACCATGAATATTAAAAATTATCCTCCCCTTCTTAAGTTATAGGTGTCGGGATTCAACGGAGGTGTAGCGTTTTTCCAATTTTAATTCATTAATTTTTTATTTTGAAAAAGGAAGTACATACATGTGACTGGCATTTTAAAAACATTTAAAAAATTATTAAGTAACCAGCTGATCAAAAAATATTTTTTAAACATTTCCTCTCCTTGTTTTTATCTCAAAAATTCCATGACTATGTTCACGAGTTTTCCTCGTAAGTATTTTTTCATCTCGAATGAATGCGTGTTTTACTGTTTTGCGCAGCTTTAGTTAAACTAAAAAATAATAAAAAATTGAAAGATTAAATATCAGAAAATTCAGCAGACCTTATTAAAATTAGCTTAAAACCTCACATTATTTTTCTGAAAAATAATTTTTATTGTTCTAATAATTTTGTTTGCGATTCATTTTTATTTGCAATTTTTAACGACTTAAAATTTTAGATAAAAAAAGTAAATTATCAACAAAATTTTATATTTTTTTTGCAAATTCATTCATTAACTTTTTTACAAACATCAAAATTGTTATAAACCCTTTCACGTTAATTAATTTTAATTTTATCTTTATAGGTAATTTAGGGAATACGTGAACGCAAAAAATTCTATTTATCTAATAAATCGGCGAACAGCGTCATTTTTGAACATTTTATTTGTTTATTTGAAAATTCACGTAAATATCTTTGTAAAAAATTTTTAATTGAGAATGAGCAATAAATCTTTCAAAAAAACATTCGTCAGAAAATTGCCTTTTTAAGTGGGTTTTACGCGGCCAGATTCCATTTCTTTATATGGCTACGTAATTAAAATGAAATTTGATGAAGTTATCTTAAAAAATGCCAAAATAGAAGGTGTTTGAACAAATAAAATTTTAAAAGGGCAAAAAGCTCGTACCTTTGGCACGCTAAAATCTGAGACTTAATCCGTCTACATTACATACGTCTTATTTGTATATTTGTCTAAAATTCCAAAATTAAAGACCAGCTTTAAAATTTCCAAAAATACCATTTATTTGTTTTTATAAACCTTTAAAATGTATTAGCGTTCATTTAAGTTTAATTTAAAAAATACAATTTTAAACCCATTATTTTATTAATAAACAGTTACAAAATAAACCTGCGCATGTTTATTGTTGCGCATATAAAAGTGAATGCCGGAAATACTAAAATAAAAGAGAAAAACTATTTTTGGCACTATATTTTATACTTATTTTTATAGCAAGTATATTTTTATACTTATTTTTCTATTTATTATTCATTAACCGAAAAAGACAGGTTTTTCGGTTATCGGGTCCGGTTCCGGATATCCTGAAATCTTCCAGGAGCCGTCAAACCTATTCAATGATTACACATATATTCCGAAAATTATATAAATCTATCAAGCTTAATTTAGACCTATTAAACAATAAAAAGGTTCTATAAATAGCACAATAGTTTGTAGCATTAAAATAAGAAAATTTAAAATTTTTATTATTATTTCCAATTTAGTCCGATTATTACTGAATTAAAATTATTTTTCGAAAAAATTATTTTATTAAACACGTGAGCGTTAATTTCTTGTTAAAAATAGAACCCGCAATTAGGAGACATTAGCAATTTTATTCAAAAAATTTTATCCAATATATTTTTATTTTATTTCCCTATATGCCTAAATAATACTAATAATTGTCTAGGCAAAAAATGTGTTTATATAGAGGAAAACAATATTTACGATTTACGCGCGGCGGCATTTCAAATTTTGTTTTTTGAACAAATTGTGGGAAAGCTATAGACTTAAAGCGTGACCGGACAATCCGTCAGTAGACAATCCGGCAGTGGAAAATCCGTCAGTGGACAATCCGTCAGTGGTCGGACAATGCGTCAGTGGACAATCCGTCAGTGAACAAATTCGTAATTCCTACCCATACCCTGACTACCGCGACCAAAAATTTTCTTTTATCGTCTGGGGGATTATGAGAGACATCGAAAATTTGGAAATTAATGAAGAAATCGGTCGATTTAGCTGAATTAAAGGATATAAGTGGATTTGGGAGATCCTGGGCAATTTGGTTAAATTGTCGATGGATTTACAAAAATGTCGATGGATTTAGAAAGATATAGGGGATTTGGATGGATTAGATTTGCATGTTTAACGGATGGGATTATGTTGGATTTAGATGAATATCGTGAGAGTGTGGGAAATCTATGAATAAGAGATAGTATTTAGATGAATATCATGGAACAACCTCCAAATCCTCTTGATCTGGCTATATCCCTTGATATCCCACTTAATCCCCGAAATCCATCTTAATCCTCTAAATTCTCGATAACCACCAGAATACTGCAAATCTTGTATATTCCCCTTAATCCCACAATATCTTTGAATTCCCCGATATCTCCCAAATCCACTTATATCCTTTAATTCAGCTAAATCGTCCGATTTCTTCATTAATTTCCAAAATTTCGATGTCTCTCATAATCCCCCAGACGATAAAATGAAAATTTTTGGTCGCGGTAGTCAGGGTATGGGTAGGAATTACGAATTTGTTCACTGACGGATTGTCCACTGACGCATTGTCCGACCACTGACGGATTGTCCACTGACGGATTTTCCACTGCCGGATTGTCCACTGACGGATTGTCCGGGAGCCACTTAAAGGGCATTTTTTTCAAAATAATCGTCTAAGATATGGGAAAAAGTAGAAGATTGTCACCTATGTAAATGAAAAATAATAACAGTACTATTTAGCCATTAATCATAAGATATCGCGCATATTTCAGTTATTTTTCATTTCAATTATTTTCTATATAAATACAGACTTACACATGGAAACGGATTTTGGTATCCTTATCCGGGCATACCGTATCAATCAGTATCCGTCTGATTTTGAAAAAAGCACTGTCCATATCCATCAGTATCCGAGGATTCCGCGCGTTTCCAGCTATTATCCGTATCCATGTGCAAGTCTGGCAAATACTATCTAGTTTTTTGAAAAATAATTTTGCAAAATTTTCTATCCATAAGCTTTATTCTCGACGTAAATACAAAATAATTATTTATATTAAAATTCTCATTTAACTTAAAACGGGACACAAAGAAAATAACGTCACGAAATATTATAAAATTTTGCTTGTTTACAAGAAAATTAAATTAAAAAATAATTTTAACAATACAAACGCCCCAAAATTTTTGTCTTGTTCTGTGAACATTCATTCTACCTAGTTTTTATTCACGTAGAATTTTTCTAACGCCTACGCCCAAAAATCCTTTAAAATACTGCAAGTCTCTTTAGGGGCATTAAATTTGCTATCACACAAAAAATACATGACAGATTTGGTATTGCAAAATTTTTTGAATTTTTCTTTAATAAAAAACTATGCGCGAGAAAATTCTAATTTGGTGCTCTTTCCCTTCTCGGCATTTTAAAATGAACATATGATTTTTCCTGTCACACAAAACTTAAAATCATCAAAGAACATTTAGTTTTTGTAAATGACATAATTAAACAATTGTTTATTCTCAAATAAATTATTGACAGATTAACTAAAAAATGTATAAAATGTCAAGGATACAACAAAATAAAATAAGAATAAAACATCATTGTTGTAAATATGTTCTTCAAATTTTCCAATCTTTTACTATCCTAATCTTCATTATTAATCATGTCAAAGGCAACATTTCATTTTCTAAAGACGGAACAGATTCGGAATCAAACGGGTTAAGAAGATACAGCAACGAGGAGATTAATAGAATTTTTGATTTGACTAATATGAACAGACACAGAATGAGAAGAAGCACTGATCTCCGATTGATTTCAGCAAGTGCTGAAGTGTGAAATTTTAAAATTCTAATTTCCTAAATTAATTCAAAAATGCGATAATTAAAAAAATATTTCTTTTTTAAGACCGGTACTTCATTTCCTTGGAAAAAGCGCTATTACGTCACGAGATGGCATAGAAGAAGATTTGTCCCATCTGTCAATTCAAGGGAAGATGGATCTCTACTCACTGCCGTTGAGCTTGTATGTTCAATATTTTTAAAAATTTTACCTTTAAATCCAATATGGAAAAAATTAATTTTAAAGTCAACAGTGCCTCGACGATTATGTGGAATAAAATTAACGAACAGAACCAGGGAACTATGTGGCGAGTAAGTTGATTAGTATTTTTATTTAGCCCGATCCCTAATCATACATATAAATATTAATTTCAGATGTGGTCCAGCAAACATGCAGAGGGTTGAATTAATGGATAAAAAAGCTGATAAATCAGTTGGTGAGTTTAAAATTCTAAAATCTTTTGAAAAAATATAACATTTTTTAAAGCATCTCGAGAACGTCTGACACAAATGTGCTGTGAAAAGCGATGCACAGATGGTATTAATATCGAAATATATAGCAATTATTTTAAAAATTTTATAGAAGATATTCGCTCGTATTGTTGTAGAAGCTGACAATGTTGTGAACAATTTTAAAGAATTTCGTAGTTTTTGCAGATTATATTTATCTATCTTTCCAACAGGACATGTCATTAACATTATACATTTTCTGAGGCCCAGATTGTTATTTTATTTTTTTCTTATTTCTTTTATTCGTTTGACTATATTTAATAATGATAAATTTAATAATTTTTGAGATATGATTGACTAATACGCAGAGGATGATAGAGGAGAGATCCTGTACGGAATTTTACGAGATCTCGTCTCGGAATCATGGGTTTTAAGAGGATTATCCCACCAACGGGATTAATCCCGCAGAATTGCCTTTTTATCTTTTGCAACTCCATTTCGTGCGATTTTGCCGACTATTAGCAATACATACAAAGGACAGTACTTTTTGGTGCCAGCATACCGTAGATGACTTCTAATGTAAGACTCTTTTGGTGCCATCATACCGTAGTAAAATATTTTTATTTATTTCACTTGTAAATAAAAATGTTTTATTAAATTATCATCATCGACTTATTTTTTTTCATATCCTCGAAAATTTTCTTGCCAAATTCTCACTCGTAAATTAGATTCTTCAAAAGCATGTTAGTGCAAAACAAATTGGCATGAAAACGCGACAAGAAAAACAAATTTAGAGGAAATGGAAAGGATAAATTTCTTTGCCAAACTGCCTTGAAAATTTTTCGCCTTCTTGACAATTTGTTTGCATACATAAAACCCAGAAGATCGTTTGAAGTGGCGGCCGTCTTTCCATTGCTGCTAAGAAATGGCATTTCAAAAACAATAATAGAAAAAATTCTTTGGTCTTATGCTTCATGTAATTCAAAATTATACGAGAAAAAGCATAAAAAAGATGTTGCTTATTATTAGGCTTATGCATATCTTGCTTCTAAAAACTTTCAAACACTATTTCATTTTCTTTTTCCATTGAATAGTAATTCAGATTAAGAATAAGCTTATGCATGCATATTATTTTCATCAAGTTTTTAGTAAGAAAACGGCCAAATTTATATTTTCCCATTCTTCACATTGATGTTTGTAGAGGGAGGGAACTGACAAACCAATGCATTTTATTCGGCTGTTTACCCTTTATCTTTTCACATTGCCAGCTTTATCCTCTCATATTTTTATAGGAAAATTTATAGGCAATCCTCATGCCTTCAATATTCATTGTCAATAAAAACACAAATATTTTCTCAATTAAGGGGGTTAAGCAAAAACTTTCACCCACGCACAGTTTTAATTACTAGAAATGCTAATTTTAGATATTCCAAAAACAGATTTTTAGTTATCCCAAAAGAACTCAAAACTACTAAGTTTCGTAAAAGCTCTCAAGAAAATCAATTCCTTTAAGCTGCTGGGTTATTTCCAAATTTGGAATTTTATTGTATCCAATTTTAAAATTTCCGGCTTTTCCTTTTTATTAGGAACGTGCTAAGTAGCCTTATTTCCTTATGCTTATTTTTCAACAGAGACTATTTTAGGATAACATAAACAAAAATATAAAAATTATTTAACATGCTTAGTTCAATATGTGAATATTGATGAGACTACATTATAAAATTTAAAAATCTGAATTAAATTTGCATGCCAGCTAAAATGGGTAACTGCCTTTATCGGCACGAGAATGAAAAGAATCCTACAAGCAACGTAGAACGCCAAAATCAACATTCAATAAAGTATGAAGGAATTTATCGAGTCTTGAATACAATTTTTATTTAGATCCACTCCCAGTTCCAAAGGTGTTGGTCTAGGAATATCGGTTTGATTATATAAATCCAATAGTAACTCAAATTTTTTTTATAAAAGATGATGATGCATCAGGCTGGAATGCTAGCTGGTATGTTAATTTACACAATGATACAAAATCATTTATCTTTATCTTAGGTTGCGCACCAACTCCCAATTTAATTGATCTGGATAATCTTCGGTCTCAAATGCGCAAAGCTAAGGCTGAAGGCAGGACTGTCACTGTACTTAATGGTTGTGTCTATATTGACTATCAACTAAAAGCACAAATCCCCGCTGGATTTAATTATGATATTTGACATTTATCCATGCTCATATGAAAATGTACAAACTTTATATGTAGTATCTATATTAAATTTTAAAGCTGTTCAGCAATAAAATTGGATTTGCCCCCGCACATTTTATTTTATTTACATTATAGATATCAGCAAGATTTAAAAAGTGATTAATTGGTTTAACAGGAATTAAGGGTAATCAGTCTGGGTAGTAATGATTGGGGAGAGGAAAGTGGAAGGAATTAGTAAAAGGAAAACATAAAAATATTAAATCTAATCTGGATTTTCGTTTATTTATACAATATGTTGACTTATCTTTTGTTTTGTGGATTTGTTTTGGGTATTGAATGTTGTGAAATTCGATCAATGGTTTGATAAAATTATATAAACATCAGTAAATTCATTTTAGGTAAAATCATTAGCAGAAATTCCATTCGAATTTAAATTGTCGCGATCAGATATTGTTGGGTTTGAAATGAAAGAGAATCTTGTTTTTAATGGAAAAGATGAACAAAAAGAATTAATGGTAATTAAATTGAAAATATCCCAGGGAAGTTTTAATTCATTAGATCAATGCAGATGACTGTTCAGTTAAACCCTGGAAAATGGAAACATTTAAACGAAATTCAGAAGGCACCTTAGAATTAGCAAAGGAGGCAATGGTTAAATTTGATGGAAAAGGAGTAATGGATATTAAAATAAAGGAAGATTTACAGCCTTGGATAGGTGCCAGAGTTGGTGTTTACTGCGCTGAGAGTTGGTTTTGTGGGTAGATATTCAAAAAAAATTTATACAACAGAGTGATAAAGATCAAGCAATATATTTCATAGTGCCTTTATTTGGATTCATATACAAAAATAAACTTTTATTTTCTTTAATTTCATGATCCGTTAAATAGCTTGTATGACGCCGACTGCGCCTTTCCAGCCAGGCTAACACTAAACAAAATAAGAAAAAAGCGGCCAATGCAAAGAAGGCCAAGTAAACACCGAGTAGGACTAGAAGTGTTTCTGATCCTTTTGTTGACACTGGTTCGGTAGAGACAAGAATCTTTTGACGCTGATCATTTGATGGTAATCGCTGATTTTTTCCATGCTTAATAAGATGCTTTCTTGGTACCAAATGTTCTTTTTTCATTGGAATTTCATTAGCATAGTATTCATTTATATCAGCTGGAAAGATAACAAATGGACTGTTGTTTTCATAATGATGAATTTTCTCGTCTTTTGGCTCATTTTGTTCAGCATTTAACATGACAGGTAATTCTGAGTTCTTCAATGTTGGTTCTTGTATATTTTCTATAGAATCAACATTGGTTTGCACAACATCAAAATTCGATGTTACTGGAACATGAATATATTTAATTATCTTCTAAATGAAACTACCTTCTTTAGGCCATTTATTTTGATGGTCAATTTCAGGATCCTCGTCAAATTCGAGAATTTTTGAAAAGTATATGTGCGTATCTTGTAGCATTGGCTGAGAAATCGCCTCGCCATTACTTTTGTCACTGATAAAATCATTTGTTGTCGAAAAATATCTCTGGTGATTTTCATCTTCATTGATATGATTCGTTTTTAACTAAAACGAAAAATTATTCAAAATAGAAAGTGAGGACTTAACATACAATATGATCACTCTTTTTATTTTTCTGATGAACTCCTTCAATTCCATCTATCAATGCCTCAACGGAAGAGGTTGGCGTTGTGAGAATGTTTGGCACTTCTTCCGTTTTAACCTCCTCATCATCAACTGGCTCAGAAGAAACATCCTCATATACCCACTCTTCCTCATATTCTTCGATGTTATTCGTTTGTTCTTTTACACTTTTGGCTTGATCTATATTGTTTTCATGTTGTTTATTAGGAACTTGGGAACTTGATCGTTCGGAACTATATGAAACTTGGTCGTTCGTCAAAACATTTGGTACTGTAACCCTGTTGTTAATAGTCCTACCAATGTTATTTTGATCTCCCCACTGGACGGAATATCTTGAATTGAAGTCATTTGTCAGCCTTGCTGTCGAGTAAAAGAAATTTGGTGGCATATCCTCCAAATCCTCTTCCGATGAAAACAATCGCCGAATGTTTGGGCCAATGGTAACTTCTTCCCCTTCCTCTCCATAAACATTATCATCGATAAGAGCTCGTTGGAGACGGTCGCCATCAACATTCCTAAGATTTTCAGAATTAATTTTGTTCTTAAAAGTACATTTTAGTAATAAACTATACTTATAAATGTTAGATTTTTGACAACGGTCCAGGAGAACTTCGGGCAAAAGTTGATCAAGTTCAAGAGGAATCACAGTAAAACCTCTGGTTTTGTATTTATCGATAACCCGACCAGATGGCAATAAAGTAGAAAGAAAATGATCTCGAATAAAGGAGCGATCGAACTTCAGAATTTTCCTTTTACTTCCCTGATTAGAGCATAATTTTTGGCCAGAACTAATTATGCAAGAAATTTGCTTATCAAGTAATCGACATATTTCCTAAAAATGATCAATTAACTTCAATAATTTCAATTAAATTTACTTGTTCAATAAAGTTTCTTAGCTTTTTAAATTGTTTTAAGCCATTTAATCTCGTATATTCATCTTTTATTTGATCCAATTGGAAGCCAATCATGCGCATTTTCGCTACTTTCCGTTGATCTTTTGAGCAACTTTTTTCTATATGGTTACGTTGTTTATGCAAACAGAGTTTATCAGATGGAAGATTATCGCACACTTGAGAATCTATACGATTCAAAATCCATAACATTTTTGTTTGCAACCAGAATTCATGCCAGTAATTTTGTTTCATGCTTGCTTTAAAGCTGAGCAACTTACTACATTGTTTTTGGCAATGATCATAGTCGAGAAATTTCCTAAACTTTGAAATCATATAATGATAAAGCCGGGTTAGCTAACCAGCAAATTGGATTTATATCGGAGTGTTTATTCTGTAGAATTTGGTTTTTATTCCGAGATTTACGCAATACCCTAAGAATGTTTGCAGCATTTTCTTCATTTCCAATATTCATCGAGCGTTTAAGAAGCCGATTACATCGATCAGAACATTGATCAGTTTTAAAACTTAACTCGTTTTTTTCATGTAGTTCAGCAACACAGATAATTATAGGGAAAAACAATGGAATAAAATTAAATGATTTAAAGTAAAACATGTAAATACAAAACAGTGTTTTCGTAAATAATTTTGAAGCAAGGATATTTACATTTTTTTGATTAATCTCACGACTTTAGAATTTTCTTAATTATTTAGCGGTTAGAATGAGCTGTTTCCTTGAGCTATTGAGTTGAACGATGAGTTTAAAAAACAGCCACAATTGTTTCGTATTTTTCATGCAAAACGCAAACTTCCCCTAATTATGCAACAGCTGTTTACACGTTTAAAAGAAAAACAAGCATTCATGGATTGATAAATAGTGTTGTTTATTTGTTTTTATTCGTTTGGATATAGGAATGCAGAAAATAAAATATAAAATAAAACAAAAATTGCAAATCTCGATCTAAGTGATTGAGTGGGTGTTCAACGGGCGAGAAAGGTGGATTAAAAGGTTGAATAATTTGAAATTTTTTAAATTTATTTAGTTATCAAAAACATAATTGGATACATAATAAAAGAATTTCATTAGGAAGGGGTTGTAGTATTCAAAACATCATTTACCTCAAAACCAGCAGTATATTCGAAACTATCAATATCATTACTTAACTCCCTGATTTGAGGATTCATTTTCTGTTCAACTTCAACATCATTTTCCTCATTTCCGTAAATCTCAGCTGTCTGTTGTCCATTCTGTTGGATTAGCATCAAGGCATCTTTATCCTCTAACGATTTAATTACATTGCCAGGAACTTTAAGAACTTGAAAAGTTGAGCCAACATTATTCAACAAATTTTTCCCAAGTATGTATGGAGAAATTTGCAAGAGCTGCAGCTGGTCTTCTCTTGGAGAAACTCTTCCAGAAGGTTGATCTGATATTGGATTCTGGATTTTTCCCCCTTGGAACGGTTTCTTAGATCCGAAATCTTCTGCTGAACTTAAAATGAACTGATCTGCTGTTGGTGTCTCATCAGGGTTATAAAAGCCTTTGCCAGAAGTGCCAATGGAAGAGTCTAGTTGATCATCATTATTTTGTTGCTGCTGAATAAGTAAATTTAAGATACGCTGCTGTTTTTCTTGCAAATCTTTTAGATCAAGTCGATTACTCCTTAGCAATTGTTTACGTTGAGAATCACGTTCGAGTAATTCCAGAATGATCTTTTCTTGTTCCAAAATCTGTTTTAATGAGAGTTGCTGACTGAGAGCTTCGTTTGTTGTTTTGCCAAAAATGCCTGTATTTCTATTTTCAGTAGTTGCCTATATTTAAATAAATTTTTTTAAAAATAATTTTAAATTACTGGAAATTTTCCAAGATTTTGCAGACGAGAAAGTAAGGGCCTTATCATAGATGTTTTGAAAGACATAGATGAATCAACACCATTCCTTCCAGAAGCTCGTAGTAATACGTTCTTCAGTCTCTGTTCATCGGATATTCGTTGTTGTAAACGTTGCATATCTTACGTAAGATTATTCAAAAAATAATCATATGAACTTACTATTTAAGTTAGCATAATTTCGAGAAATTAAAGCTCCAAATGGGCTTCTTCCATTATTTCGAAGCGCAGCCTGAATCATCATTCCTGTTTCTTTTCTACCAAACCTTGCTAAACTAGGATTATCCAAGCTTATAGAGCGTTGCTCAATAGCTGGAACATCACTACGTTGAAAATTATCAAAACTGCTAAGCTCTGCTGCTAGTAATTGGATCATGAATAAAGCGAATAAAACTTGATTGTGAACGTATTTTTCAAACATTATTTTTGAAAAAATTACTAAAATTTTGTAAAATAGATTTCGTTATGTATTTCAGCTTAAAAATACATCCCTTTTAACAAAGCCAGCTAAAAATAACAATAAAATGAAAGCTAATGGATATCGCTAAAAATAGAAATTTAAACAAACAAATGGATCTATTATTGTTTTTAGGGTTCATGTGTATAGATTGCTTGCCAAAATAGACAGACTCGGTCTAAAAGATCAAGTCGGACCCCAGATTTGGCCCGAAAAAATGCCTCGATCGTTGGCCCTACTCAAAAAACGGCAAACCTAGTTATAAATAAATACACCTGATTATTAATACCTAGCATGCTACTTAACTTTTAATGCATAAAACATATCTTTCAAATTTTATTTAGATTATTAAAGATTGAGGCTGTCATATAAATAAGTCATTGACTGGTTAAAAAAATAATAGTGAAATATAGATAAGGTAAGATAACAATAAAGAACAGGAACGTAATCGTTGATCAGATGTAAAAATACAGATTTAAATTACGTCCATATAATTAGAAATAAAATTAAAAATGGCAAGGTTCCCTTTCCGGAGGTTTAATGATAAAAATGCAAAATATAAGTATAATAATTAAAATAATATAAAGGCACGAAATTTTAAATTAATGACCAAAATGTGTGAAAATTTATGTAATTATGCACTTCTGTTTGCCTCCTCCTTTTTTCCCTTTAAACGGCCGACCTTGGTTATCTTTAAGCTAAAAAATAAAAATACAAAGCCTCAAATATTTTTAATAGAAATCCCACATTCTGAGCATTCTCTTCAGCAGGAAAGCTCTTGACAATTCGAACCTAAAATATTTTATCAGAAAAATAACTAATAATATAGAAACCAATTCGTGAAAAGCAGAGTCAACATTAACAGGCGGATCCTTAGCAGATGTTCTAGGTTAAATATTATCAATATTTCATACCCCTAAGTAAAAATTAGTTACTCGATATATGGAATGTTGTTCAGTTCGCAAGCCAGTTCCCGACCTTGCTGTTCGCTAACCTTCCTCTGACTAAGCAGATCAACCTGTAAACTCATTATCAGACTCAATTAAACTTCAATTAAAAAACCTTATTTGCTACAAGAAGCACTGGATATTCAGGACGATCTTTAACACGAAGTACTTGCTTAGAATAAAGAATATACTTTCATAATTAAGTAAGCTAAAAACCTGATAAAGCTTTTTAGCTTCGTGAAAGCTTTGCTCATCCGTAACAGAGTAGACTAACAGAAAACCTCTTCCACTCCGCATATATCTAACAAATGGATTGTGTAACGTAAAATTCCAAGAAAGAAATTACTGTTCACGCATTGCGGAAAATTCCTCCTGTCCAGCTGTATCCAATACTGAAACCTTTATTCATGATAATTAATGAAAAGATTTTTGAAAAGATCCATATGGAAAGATCCGATACTTGAGGATATTAAACATAACTTTTTCAGAAATGGAAGTAAATAGCTATTTTTACTTAAGAGTTAAGCTAAAACATCAAAATTGGTCAATCAAAATTGGAACATCAAAATTGGTCAGTTTTAAAGAAAGCTATGACCAATAATATGTTTTTGGCCAAATTCCCCCGCTCCTAGGCCATAAGTTTAACTTATTTGATGTTTTTCCAAACCTTATATCATATTATAGAGAATTATTAGCTTGATTTCATAAAATTTAATCTTTCTGTATAGCATGCTATCATTGAATTTATGATTAATTTAATGTAATTATCCTCAAGTCATGGCAACATAAAACTAACCATCTAAAATAACCCATTGGCCATCAATTTCACAATGCTAAAATAAACACCATTTATTACAAATAAATTATAAAAATTAGAACCTGTATGTACTGATCTTCAATTGTCGGGTCATAATAATCCAAAAATTGTTTCTGAATAACCACATAAATGTGGGATTTTAAAAAATTATGAACCTGGAAAAACTGAATGGTTAATGAAGATTTGCCAACACCACCTTCACCAATAACAACCAGTTTATAAGTAGGCAATTGCTGCTCGTCTGGTGGCCTTTTGTTAGAGGCAGCCGCCATTTTTTAATGATGAGTCACGCAATCTACAAGGCTAAAAAGTAACCAAAATTAAGAGTGACTCATGTACATATGTATTAATAAAAATTTCTTCAATTAGCATGGGTATAATTCTAGGGCAAAATTACACAAAATGTGAAAATAAAGAGTATATTAGCCATTTCATTGCAGCAATTTTAAATTTTACCAAATACTATTGATTTTGATCAATAATTTTTTGGAAATTTATTGGAACTTATTGACAAACTGCCTCTAACAAAAGGCCACCAGACGAGCAGCAATTGCCTACTTATAAACTGGTTGTTATTGGTGAAGGTGGTGTTGGCAAATCTTCATTAACCATTCAGTTTTTCCAGGTTCATAATTTTTTAAAATCCCACATTTATGTGGTTATTCAGAAACAATTTTTGGATTATTATGACCCGACAATTGAAGATCAGTACATACAGGTTCTAATTTTTATAATTTATTTGTAATAAATGGTGTTTATTTTAGCATTGTGAAATTGATGGCCAATGGGTTATTTTAGATGGTTAGTTTTATGTTGCCATGACTTGAGGATAATTACATTAAATTAATCATAAATTCAATGATAGCATGCTATACAGAAAGATTAAATTTTATGAAATCAAGCTAATAATTCTCTATAATATGATATAAGGTTTGGAAAAACATCAAATAAGTTAAACTTATGGCCTAGGAGCGGGGGAATTTGGCCAAAAACATATTATTGGTCATAGCTTTCTTTAAAACTGACCAATTTTGATGTTCCAATTTTGATTGACCAATTTTGATGTTTTAGCTTAACTCTTAAGTAAAAATAGCTATTTACTTCCATTTCTGAAAAAGTTATGTTTAATATCCTCAAGTATCGGATCTTTCCATATGGATCTTTTCAAAAATCTTTTCATTAATTATCATGAATAAAGGTTTCAGTATTGGATACAGCTGGACAGGAGGAATTTTCCGCAATGCGTGAACAGTAATTTCTTTCTTGGAATTTTACGTTACACAATCCATTTGTTAGATATATGCGGAGTGGAAGAGGTTTTCTGTTAGTCTACTCTGTTACGGATGAGCAAAGCTTTCACGAAGCTAAAAAGCTTTATCAGGTTTTTAGCTTACTTAATTATGAAAGTATATTCTTTATTCTAAGCAAGTACTTCGTGTTAAAGATCGTCCTGAATATCCAGTGCTTCTTGTAGCAAATAAGGTTTTTTAATTGAAGTTTAATTGAGTCTGATAATGAGTTTACAGGTTGATCTGCTTAGTCAGAGGAAGGTTAGCGAACAGCAAGGTCGGGAACTGGCTTGCGAACTGAACAACATTCCATATATCGAGTAACTAATTTTTACTTAGGGGTATGAAATATTGATAATATTTAACCTAGAACATCTGCTAAGGATCCGCCTGTTAATGTTGACTCTGCTTTTCACGAATTGGTTTCTATATTATTAGTTATTTTTCTGATAAAATATTTTAGGTTCGAATTGTCAAGAGCTTTCCTGCTGAAGAGAATGCTCAGAATGTGGGATTTCTATTAAAAATATTTGAGGCTTTGTATTTTTATTTTTTAGCTTAAAGATAACCAAGGTCGGCCGTTTAAAGGGAAAAAAGGAGGAGGCAAACAGAAGTGCATAATTACATAAATTTTCACACATTTTGGTCATTAATTTAAAATTTCGTGCCTTTATATTATTTTAATTATTATACTTATATTTTGCATTTTTATCATTAAACCTCCGGAAAGGGAACCTTGCCATTTTTAATTTTATTTCTAAGTATATGGACGTAATTTAAATCTGTATTTTTACATCTGATCAACGATTACGTTCCTGTTCTTTATTGTTATCTTGCCTAATCTATATTTCACTATTATTTTTTTAACCAGTCAGTGACTTATTTATATGACAGCCTCAATCTTTAATAATCTGAATAAAATTTGAAAGATATGTTTTATGCATTAAAAGTTAAGTAGCATGCTAGGTATTAATAATCAGTGTGTATTTATTTATAATTAGGTTTGCCGTTTTTTGAGTAGGGCCAACGATCGAGGCATTTTTTCGGGCCAAATCCGGGGTCCGACTTGATCTTTTAGACCGAGTCTGTCTATTTTGCCAAGCAATCTATACACATGAACCATGTAAACAATAATAGATCCATTTGTTTGTTTAAATTTCTATTTTTAGCGATATCCATTAGCTTTCATTTTATTGTTATTTTTAGCTGGGTTTTTTAAAAGGGATGTATTTTTAAACTGAAATACATAACGAAATCTATTTTACAAAAATTTAGTCATTTTTTCAAAAATAATGTTTGAAAAATACGCTTACAATCAAGTCTTATTAGCTTTATTCATGATCCAATTACTAGCTGCTGAGCTTAATAGTTTTGATAACTTTCAACGTAATGATGTTCCAGCTATTGCGCAACTAATATACTCTTTATTTTCACATTTTGTGTAATTTTGCCCTAGAATTATACCCATGCTAATTGAAGAAATTTTTATTAATACATATGTACATGAGTCACTCTTAATTTTGGTTACTTTTTAGCCTTGTAGATTGCGTGACTCATCATTAAAAAATGGCGGCTGCCTCTAACAAAAGGCCACCAGACGAGCAGCAATTGCCTACTTATAAACTGGTTGTTATTGGTGAAGGTGGTGTTGGCAAATCTTCATTAACCATTCAGTTTTTCCAGGTTCATAATTTTTTAAAATCCCACATTTATGTGGTTATTCAGAAACAATTTTTGGATTATTATGACCCGACAATTGAAGATCAGTACATACAGGTTCTAATTTTTATAATTTATTTGTAATAAATGGTGTTTATTTTAGCATTGTGAAATTGATGGCCAATGGGTTATTTTAGATGGTTAGTTTTATGTTGCCATGACTTGAGGATAATTACATTAAATTAATCATAAATTCAATGATAGCATGCTATACAGAAAGATTAAATTTTATGAAATCAAGCTAATAATTCTCTATAATATGATATAAGGTTTGGAAAAACATCAAATAAGTTAAACTTATGGCCTAGGAGCGGGGGAATTTGGCCAAAAACATATTATTGGTCATAGCTTTCTTTAAAACTGACCAATTTTGATGTTCCAATTTTGATTGACCAATTTTGATGTTTTAGCTTAACTCTTAAGTAAAAATAGCTATTTTTTAGCTTAAAGATAACCAAGGTCGGCCGTTTAAAGGGAAAAAAGGAGGAGGCAAACAGAAGTGCATAATTACATAAATTTTCACACATTTTGGTCATTAATTTAAAATTTCGTGCCTTTATATTATTTTAATTATTATACTTATATTTTGCATTTTTATCATTAAACCTCCGGAAAGGGAACCTTGCCATTTTTAATTTTATTTCTAAGTATATGGACGTAATTTAAATCTGTATTTTTACATCTGATCAACGATTACGTTCCTGTTCTTTATTGTTATCTTGCCTAATCTATATTTCACTATTATTTTTTTAACCAGTCAGTGACTTATTTATATGACAGCCTCAATCTTTAATAATCTGAATAAAATTTGAAAGATATGTTTTATGCATTAAAAGTTAAGTAGCATGCTAGGTATTAATAATCAGTGTGTATTTATTTATAATTAGGTTTGCCGTTTTTTGAGTAGGGCCAACGATCGAGGCATTTTTTCGGGCCAAATCCGGGGTCCGACTTGATCTTTTAGACCGAGTCTGTCTATTTTGCCAAGCAATCTATACACATGAACCATGTAAACAATAATAGATCCATTTGTTTGTTTAAATTTCTATTTTTAGCGATATCCATTAGCTTTCATTTTATTGTTATTTTTAGCTGGGTTTTTTAAAAGGGATGTATTTTTAAACTGAAATAGTTTTGATAACTTTCAACGTAGTGATGTTCCAGCTATTGAGCAACGCTCTATAAGCTTGGATAATCCTAGTTTAGCAAGGTTTGGTAGAAAAGAAACAGGAATGATGATTCAGGCTGCGCTTCGAAATAATGGAAGAAGCCCATTTGGAGCTTTAATTTCTCGAAATTATGCTAACTTAAATAGTAAGTTCATATGATTATTTTTTGAATAATCTTACGTAAGATATGCAACGTTTACAACAACGAATATCCGATGAACAGAGACTGAAGAACGTATTACTACGAGCTTCTGGAAGGAATGGTGTTGATTCATCTATGTCTTTCAAAACATCTATGATAAGGCCCTTACTTTCTCGTCTGCAAAATCTTGGAAAATTTCCAGTAATTTAAAATTATTTTTAAAAAAATTTATTTAAATATAGGCAACTACTGAAAATAGAAATACAGGCATTTTTGGCAAAACAACAAACGAAGCTCTCAGTCAGCAACTCTCATTAAAACAGATTTTGGAACAAGAAAAGATCATTCTGGAATTACTCGAACGTGATTCTCAACGTAAACAATTGCTAAGGAGTAATCGACTTGATCTAAAAGATTTGCAAGAAAAACAGCAGCGTATCTTAAATTTACTTATTCAGCAGCAACAAAATAATGATGATCAACTAGACTCTTCCATTGGCACTTCTGGCAAAGGCTTTTATAACCCTGATGAGACACCAACAGCAGATCAGTTCATTTTAAGTTCAGCAGAAGATTTCGGATCTAAGAAACCGTTCCAAGGGGGAAAAATCCAGAATCCAATATCAGATCAACCTTCTGGAAGAGTTTCTCCAAGAGAAGACCAGCTGCAGCTCTTGCAAATTTCTCCATACATACTTGGGAAAAATTTGTTGAATAATGTTGGCTCAACTTTTCAAGTTCTTAAAGTTCCTGGCAATGTAATTAAATCGTTAGAGGATAAAGATGCCTTGATGCTAATCCAACAGAATGGACAACAGACAGCTGAGATTTACGGAAATGAGGAAAATGATGTTGAAGTTGAACAGAAAATGAATCCTCAAATCAGGGAGTTAAGTAATGATATTGATAGTTTCGAATATACTGCTGGTTTTGAGGTAAATGATGTTTTGAATACTACAACCCCTTCCTAATGAAATTCTTTTATTATGTATCCAATTATGTTTTTGATAACTAAATAAATTTAAAAAATTTCAAATTATTCAACCTTTTAATCCACCTTTCTCGCCCGTTGAACACCCACTCAATCACTTAGATCGAGATTTGCAATTTTTGTTTTATTTTATATTTTATTTTCTGCATTCCTATATCCAAACGAATAAAAACAAATAAACAACACTATTTATCAATCCATGAATGCTTGTTTTTCTTTTAAACGTGTAAACAGCTGTTGCATAATTAGGGGAAGTTTGCGTTTTGCATGAAAAATACGAAACAATTGTGGCTGTTTTTTAAACTCATCGTTCAACTCAATAGCTCAAGGAAACAGCTCATTCTAACCGCTAAATAATTAAGAAAATTCTAAAGTCGTGAGATTAATCAAAAAAATGTAAATATCCTTGCTTCAAAATTATTTACGAAAACACTGTTTTGTATTTACATGTTTTACTTTAAATCATTTAATTTTATTCCATTGTTTTTCCCTATAATTATCTGTGTTGCTGAACTACATGAAAAAAACGAGTTAAGTTTTAAAACTGATCAATGTTCTGATCGATGTAATCGGCTTCTTAAACGCTCGATGAATATTGGAAATGAAGAAAATGCTGCAAACATTCTTAGGGTATTGCGTAAATCTCGGAATAAAAACCAAATTCTACAGAATAAACACTCCGATATAAATCCAATTTGCTGGTTAGCTAACCCGGCTTTATCATTATATGATTTCAAAGTTTAGGAAATTTCTCGACTATGATCATTGCCAAAAACAATGTAGTAAGTTGCTCAGCTTTAAAGCAAGCATGAAACAAAATTACTGGCATGAATTCTGGTTGCAAACAAAAATGTTATGGATTTTGAATCGTATAGATTCTCAAGTGTGCGATAATCTTCCATCTGATAAACTCTGTTTGCATAAACAACGTAACCATATAGAAAAAAGTTGCTCAAAAGATCAACGGAAAGTAGCGAAAATGCGCATGATTGGCTTCCAATTGGATCAAATAAAAGATGAATATACGAGATTAAATGGCTTAAAACAATTTAAAAAGCTAAGAAACTTTATTGAACAAGTAAATTTAATTGAAATTATTGAAGTTAATTGATCATTTTTAGGAAATATGTCGATTACTTGATAAGCAAATTTCTTGCATAATTAGTTCTGGCCAAAAATTATGCTCTAATCAGGGAAGTAAAAGGAAAATTCTGAAGTTCGATCGCTCCTTTATTCGAGATCATTTTCTTTCTACTTTATTGCCATCTGGTCGGGTTATCGATAAATACAAAACCAGAGGTTTTACTGTGATTCCTCTTGAACTTGATCAACTTTTGCCCGAAGTTCTCCTGGACCGTTGTCAAAAATCTAACATTTATAAGTATAGTTTATTACTAAAATGTACTTTTAAGAACAAAATTAATTCTGAAAATCTTAGGAATGTTGATGGCGACCGTCTCCAACGAGCTCTTATCGATGATAATGTTTATGGAGAGGAAGGGGAAGAAGTTACCATTGGCCCAAACATTCGGCGATTGTTTTCATCGGAAGAGGATTTGGAGGATATGCCACCAAATTTCTTTTACTCGACAGCAAGGCTGACAAATGACTTCAATTCAAGATATTCCGTCCAGTGGGGAGATCAAAATAACATTGGTAGGACTATTAACAACAGGGTTACAGTACCAAATGTTTTGACGAACGACCAAGTTTCATATAGTTCCGAACGATCAAGTTCCCAAGTTCCTAATAAACAACATGAAAACAATATAGATCAAGCCAAAAGTGTAAAAGAACAAACGAATAACATCGAAGAATATGAGGAAGAGTGGGTATATGAGGATGTTTCTTCTGAGCCAGTTGATGATGAGGAGGTTAAAACGGAAGAAGTGCCAAACATTCTCACAACGCCAACCTCTTCCGTTGAGGCATTGATAGATGGAATTGAAGGAGTTCATCAGAAAAATAAAAAGAGTGATCATATTGTATGTTAAGTCCTCACTTTCTATTTTGAATAATTTTTCGTTTTAGTTAAAAACGAATCATATCAATGAAGATGAAAATCACCAGAGATATTTTTCGACAACAAATGATTTTATCAGTGACAAAAGTAATGGCGAGGCGATTTCTCAGCCAATGCTACAAGATACGCACATATACTTTTCAAAAATTCTCGAATTTGACGAGGATCCTGAAATTGACCATCAAAATAAATGGCCTAAAGAAGGTAGTTTCATTTAGAAGATAATTAAATATATTCATGTTCCAGTAACATCGAATTTTGATGTTGTGCAAACCAATGTTGATTCTATAGAAAATATACAAGAACCAACATTGAAGAACTCAGAATTACCTGTCATGTTAAATGCTGAACAAAATGAGCCAAAAGACGAGAAAATTCATCATTATGAAAACAACAGTCCATTTGTTATCTTTCCAGCTGATATAAATGAATACTATGCTAATGAAATTCCAATGAAAAAAGAACATTTGGTACCAAGAAAGCATCTTATTAAGCATGGAAAAAATCAGCGATTACCATCAAATGATCAGCGTCAAAAGATTCTTGTCTCTACCGAACCAGTGTCAACAAAAGGATCAGAAACACTTCTAGTCCTACTCGGTGTTTACTTGGCCTTCTTTGCATTGGCCGCTTTTTTCTTATTTTGTTTAGTGTTAGCCTGGCTGGAAAGGCGCAGTCGGCGTCATACAAGCTATTTAACGGATCATGAAATTAAAGAAAATAAAAGTTTATTTTTGTATATGAATCCAAATAAAGGCACTATGAAATATATTGCTTGATCTTTATCACTCTGTTGTATAAATTTTTTTTGAATATCTACCCACAAAACCAACTCTCAGCGCAGTAAACACCAACTCTGGCACCTATCCAAGGCTGTAAATCTTCCTTTATTTTAATATCCATTACTCCTTTTCCATCAAATTTAACCATTGCCTCCTTTGCTAATTCTAAGGTGCCTTCTGAATTTCGTTTAAATGTTTCCATTTTCCAGGGTTTAACTGAACAGTCATCTGCATTGATCTAATGAATTAAAACTTCCCTGGGATATTTTCAATTTAATTACCATTAATTCTTTTTGTTCATCTTTTCCATTAAAAACAAGATTCTCTTTCATTTCAAACCCAACAATATCTGATCGCGACAATTTAAATTCGAATGGAATTTCTGCTAATGATTTTACCTAAAATGAATTTACTGATGTTTATATAATTTTATCAAACCATTGATCGAATTTCACAACATTCAATACCCAAAACAAATCCACAAAACAAAAGATAAGTCAACATATTGTATAAATAAACGAAAATCCAGATTAGATTTAATATTTTTATGTTTTCCTTTTACTAATTCCTTCCACTTTCCTCTCCCCAATCATTACTACCCAGACTGATTACCCTTAATTCCTGTTAAACCAATTAATCACTTTTTAAATCTTGCTGATATCTATAATGTAAATAAAATAAAATGTGCGGGGGCAAATCCAATTTTATTGCTGAACAGCTTTAAAATTTAATATAGATACTACATATAAAGTTTGTACATTTTCATATGAGCATGGATAAATGTCAAATATCATAATTAAATCCAGCGGGGATTTGTGCTTTTAGTTGATAGTCAATATAGACACAACCATTAAGTACAGTGACAGTCCTGCCTTCAGCCTTAGCTTTGCGCATTTGAGACCGAAGATTATCCAGATCAATTAAATTGGGAGTTGGTGCGCAACCTAAGATAAAGATAAATGATTTTGTATCATTGTGTAAATTAACATACCAGCTAGCATTCCAGCCTGATGCATCATCATCTTTTATAAAAAAAATTTGAGTTACTATTGGATTTATATAATCAAACCGATATTCCTAGACCAACACCTTTGGAACTGGGAGTGGATCTAAATAAAAATTGTATTCAAGACTCGATAAATTCCTTCATACTTTATTGAATGTTGATTTTGGCGTTCTACGTTGCTTGTAGGATTCTTTTCATTCTCGTGCCGATAAAGGCAGTTACCCATTTTAGCTGGCATGCAAATTTAATTCAGATTTTTAAATTTTATAATGTAGTCTCATCAATATTCACATATTGAACTAAGCATGTTAAATAATTTTTATATTTTTGTTTATGTTATCCTAAAATAGTCTCTGTTGAAAAATAAGCATAAGGAAATAAGGCTACTTAGCACGTTCCTAATAAAAAGGAAAAGCCGGAAATTTTAAAATTGGATACAATAAAATTCCAAATTTGGAAATAACCCAGCAGCTTAAAGGAATTGATTTTCTTGAGAGCTTTTACGAAACTTAGTAGTTTTGAGTTCTTTTGGGATAACTAAAAATCTGTTTTTGGAATATCTAAAATTAGCATTTCTAGTAATTAAAACTGTGCGTGGGTGAAAGTTTTTGCTTAACCCCCTTAATTGAGAAAATATTTGTGTTTTTATTGACAATGAATATTGAAGGCATGAGGATTGCCTATAAATTTTCCTATAAAAATATGAGAGGATAAAGCTGGCAATGTGAAAAGATAAAGGGTAAACAGCCGAATAAAATGCATTGGTTTGTCAGTTCCCTCCCTCTACAAACATCAATGTGAAGAATGGGAAAATATAAATTTGGCCGTTTTCTTACTAAAAACTTGATGAAAATAATATGCATGCATAAGCTTATTCTTAATCTGAATTACTATTCAATGGAAAAAGAAAATGAAATAGTGTTTGAAAGTTTTTAGAAGCAAGATATGCATAAGCCTAATAATAAGCAACATCTTTTTTATGCTTTTTCTCGTATAATTTTGAATTACATGAAGCATAAGACCAAAGAATTTTTTCTATTATTGTTTTTGAAATGCCATTTCTTAGCAGCAATGGAAAGACGGCCGCCACTTCAAACGATCTTCTGGGTTTTATGTATGCAAACAAATTGTCAAGAAGGCGAAAAATTTTCAAGGCAGTTTGGCAAAGAAATTTATCCTTTCCATTTCCTCTAAATTTGTTTTTCTTGTCGCGTTTTCATGCCAATTTGTTTTGCACTAACATGCTTTTGAAGAATCTAATTTACGAGTGAGAATTTGGCAAGAAAATTTTCGAGGATATGAAAAAAAATAAGTCGATGATGATAATTTAATAAAACATTTTTATTTACAAGTGAAATAAATAAAAATATTTTACTACGGTATGATGGCACCAAAAGAGTCTTACATTAGAAGTCATCTACGGTATGCTGGCACCAAAAAGTACTGTCCTTTGTATGTATTGCTAATAGTCGGCAAAATCGCACGAAATGGAGTTGCAAAAGATAAAAAGGCAATTCTGCGGGATTAATCCCGTTGGTGGGATAATCCTCTTAAAACCCATGATTCCGAGACGAGATCTCGTAAAATTCCGTACAGGATCTCTCCTCTATCATCCTCTGCGTATTAGTCAATCATATCTCAAAAATTATTAAATTTATCATTATTAAATATAGTCAAACGAATAAAAGAAATAAGAAAAAAATAAAGTAACAATCTGGGCCTCAGAAAATGTATAATGTTAATGACATGTCCTGTTGGAAAGATAGATAAATATAATCTGCAAAAACTACGAAATTCTTTAAAATTGTTCACAACATTGTCAGCTTCTACAACAATACGAGCGAATATCTTCTATAAAATTTTTAAAATAATTGCTATATATTTCGATATTAATACCATCTGTGCATCGCTTTTCACAGCACATTTGTGTCAGACGTTCTCGAGATGCTTTAAAAAATGTTATATTTTTTCAAAAGATTTTAGAATTTTAAACTCACCAACTGATTTATCAGCTTTTTTATCCATTAATTCAACCCTCTGCATGTTTGCTGGACCACATCTGAAATTAATATTTATATGTATGATTAGGGATCGGGCTAAATAAAAATACTAATCAACTTACTCGCCACATAGTTCCCTGGTTCTGTTCGTTAATTTTATTCCACATAATCGTCGAGGCACTGTTGACTTTAAAATTAATTTTTTCCATATTGGATTTAAAGGTAAAATTTTTAAAAATATTGAACATACAAGCTCAACGGCAGTGAGTAGAGATCCATCTTCCCTTGAATTGACAGATGGGACAAATCTTCTTCTATGCCATCTCGTGACGTAATAGCGCTTTTTCCAAGGAAATGAAGTACCGGTCTTAAAAAAGAAATATTTTTTTAATTATCGCATTTTTGAATTAATTTAGGAAATTAGAATTTTAAAATTTCACACTTCAGCACTTGCTGAAATCAATCGGAGATCAGTGCTTCTTCTCATTCTGTGTCTGTTCATATTAGTCAAATCAAAAATTCTATTAATCTCCTCGTTGCTGTATCTTCTTAACCCGTTTGATTCCGAATCTGTTCCGTCTTTAGAAAATGAAATGTTGCCTTTGACATGATTAATAATGAAGATTAGGATAGTAAAAGATTGGAAAATTTGAAGAACATATTTACAACAATGATGTTTTATTCTTATTTTATTTTGTTGTATCCTTGACATTTTATACATTTTTTAGTTAATCTGTCAATAATTTATTTGAGAATAAACAATTGTTTAATTATGTCATTTACAAAAACTAAATGTTCTTTGATGATTTTAAGTTTTGTGTGACAGGAAAAATCATATGTTCATTTTAAAATGCCGAGAAGGGAAAGAGCACCAAATTAGAATTTTCTCGCGCATAGTTTTTTATTAAAGAAAAATTCAAAAAATTTTGCAATACCAAATCTGTCATGTATTTTTTGTGTGATAGCAAATTTAATGCCCCTAAAGAGACTTGCAGTATTTTAAAGGATTTTTGGGCGTAGGCGTTAGAAAAATTCTACGTGAATAAAAACTAGGTAGAATGAATGTTCACAGAACAAGACAAAAATTTTGGGGCGTTTGTATTGTTAAAATTATTTTTTAATTTAATTTTCTTGTAAACAAGCAAAATTTTATAATATTTCGTGACGTTATTTTCTTTGTGTCCCGTTTTAAGTTAAATGAGAATTTTAATATAAATAATTATTTTGTATTTACGTCGAGAATAAAGCTTATGGATAGAAAATTTTGCAAAATTATTTTTCAAAAAACTAGATAGTATTTGCCAGACTTGCACATGGATACGGATAATAGCTGGAAACGCGCGGAATCCTCGGATACTGATGGATATGGACAGTGCTTTTTTCAAAATCAGACGGATACTGATTGATACGGTATGCCCGGATAAGGATACCAAAATCCGTTTCCATGTGTAAGTCTGTATTTATATAGAAAATAATTGAAATGAAAAATAACTGAAATATGCGCGATATCTTATGATTAATGGCTAAATAGTACTGTTATTATTTTTCATTTACATAGGTGACAATCTTCTACTTTTTCCCATATCTTAGACGATTATTTTGAAAAAAATGCCCTTTAAGTGGCTCCCGGACAATCCGTCAGTGGACAATCCGGCAGTGGAAAATCCGTCAGTGGACAATCCGTCAGTGGTCGGACAATGCGTCAGTGGACAATCCGTCAGTGAACAAATTCGTAATTCCTACCCATACCCTGACTACCGCGACCAAAAATTTTCATTTTATCGTCTGGGGGATTATGAGAGACATCGAAATTTTGGAAATTAATGAAGAAATCGGACGATTTAGCTGAATTAAAGGATATAAGTGGATTTGGGAGATATCGGGGAATTCAAAGATATTGTGGGATTAAGGGGAATATACAAGATTTGCAGTATTCTGGTGGTTATCGAGAATTTAGAGGATTAAGATGGATTTCGGGGATTAAGTGGGATATCAAGGGATATAGCCAGATCAAGAGGATTTGGAGGTTGTTCCATGATATTCATCTAAATACTATCTCTTATTCATAGATTTCCCACACTCTCACGATATTCATCTAAATCCAACATAATCCCATCCGTTAAACATGCAAATCTAATCCATCCAAATCCCCTATATCTTTCTAAATCCATCGACATTTTTGTAAATCCATCGACAATTTAACCAAATTGCCCAGGATCTCCCAAATCCACTTATATCCTTTAATTCAGCTAAATCGACCGATTTCTTCATTAATTTCCAAATTTTCGATGTCTCTCATAATCCCCCAGACGATAAAAGAAAATTTTTGGTCGCGGTAGTCAGGGTATGGGTAGGAATTACGAATTTGTTCACTGACGGATTGTCCACTGACGCATTGTCCGACCACTGACGGATTGTCCACTGACGGATTTTCCACTGCCGGATTGTCTACTGACGGATTGTCCGGTCACGCTTTAAGTCTATAGCTTTCCCACAATTTGTTCAAAAAACAAAATTTGAAATGCCGCCGCGCGTAAATCGTAAATATTGTTTTCCTCTATATAAACACATTTTTTGCCTAGACAATTATTAGTATTATTTAGGCATATAGGGAAATAAAATAAAAATATATTGGATAAAATTTTTTGAATAAAATTGCTAATGTCTCCTAATTGCGGGTTCTATTTTTAACAAGAAATTAACGCTCACGTGTTTAATAAAATAATTTTTTCGAAAAATAATTTTAATTCAGTAATAATCGGACTAAATTGGAAATAATAATAAAAATTTTAAATTTTCTTATTTTAATGCTACAAACTATTGTGCTATTTATAGAACCTTTTTATTGTTTAATAGGTCTAAATTAAGCTTGATAGATTTATATAATTTTCGGAATATATGTGTAATCATTGAATAGGTTTGACGGCTCCTGGAAGATTTCAGGATATCCGGAACCGGACCCGATAACCGAAAAACCTGTCTTTTTCGGTTAATGAATAATAAATAGAAAAATAAGTATAAAAATATACTTGCTATAAAAATAAGTATAAAATATAGTGCCAAAAATAGTTTTTCTCTTTTATTTTAGTATTTCCGGCATTCACTTTTATATGCGCAACAATAAACATGCGCAGGTTTATTTTGTAACTGTTTATTAATAAAATAATGGGTTTAAAATTGTATTTTTTAAATTAAACTTAAATGAACGCTAATACATTTTAAAGGTTTATAAAAACAAATAAATGGTATTTTTGGAAATTTTAAAGCTGGTCTTTAATTTTGGAATTTTAGACAAATATACAAATAAGACGTATGTAATGTAGACGGATTAAGTCTCAGATTTTAGCGTGCCAAAGGTACGAGCTTTTTGCCCTTTTAAAATTTTATTTGTTCAAACACCTTCTATTTTGGCATTTTTTAAGATAACTTCATCAAATTTCATTTTAATTACGTAGCCATATAAAGAAATGGAATCTGGCCGCGTAAAACCCACTTAAAAAGGCAATTTTCTGACGAATGTTTTTTTGAAAGATTTATTGCTCATTCTCAATTAAAAATTTTTTACAAAGATATTTACGTGAATTTTCAAATAAACAAATAAAATGTTCAAAAATGACGCTGTTCGCCGATTTATTAGATAAATAGAATTTTTTGCGTTCACGTATTCCCTAAATTACCTATAAAGATAAAATTAAAATTAATTAACGTGAAAGGGTTTATAACAATTTTGATGTTTGTAAAAAAGTTAATGAATGAATTTGCAAAAAAAATATAAAATTTTGTTGATAATTTACTTTTTTTATCTAAAATTTTAAGTCGTTAAAAATTGCAAATAAAAATGAATCGCAAACAAAATTATTAGAACAATAAAAATTATTTTTCAGAAAAATAATGTGAGGTTTTAAGCTAATTTTAATAAGGTCTGCTGAATTTTCTGATATTTAATCTTTCAATTTTTTATTATTTTTTAGTTTAACTAAAGCTGCGCAAAACAGTAAAACACGCATTCATTCGAGATGAAAAAATACTTACGAGGAAAACTCGTGAACATAGTCATGGAATTTTTGAGATAAAAACAAGGAGAGGAAATGTTTAAAAAATATTTTTTGATCAGCTGGTTACTTAATAATTTTTTAAATGTTTTTAAAATGCCAGTCACATGTATGTACTTCCTTTTTCAAAATAAAAAATTAATGAATTAAAATTGGAAAAACGCTACACCTCCGTTGAATCCCGACACCTATAACTTAAGAAGGGGAGGATAATTTTTAATATTCATGGTACCATTGCATAGAGATAATGGTACCAAGATCACTAAAAATGATCCATCCCTTCATGACTTAAAGGGTTGGGGCCAACTGAACTGCTACGTTAGCCTTACACATTTGTAGTAGGAGAAAAAATGGATAAATGGAAGTTAAGGGGATAAATATAATTTTATTTATTTCCAGACTGGGTGCACGCTATGTATTTGCTAATATGCAAATGTAATATTTAACTTGAGAATACTCACGGGAAACCGGGCAAGTGTGAAATGTCATGCTGCAAACTTTATTCTAGTTTACTTTATCGAAAAGAATTAAACATATAAAATATGGTTATAATAATTAAGAGAGAATAAATTTAGAGAATTATGACATTTAAACTTGAACCTAACCATTAAATGGCATTTCCGTTTTCAATATGAAAAACATTACGTGTGAATATTTTTTAACTCAATGTGTGAGGTAAACACGAATTAAGCTTTAATAATTTTATAAAAACCAATATTTTATCAGATTAATTGAATAAATTTGATTATAAATGAAAAAATTATACATAATTGAAAGGAAATGGATTTCGGAGCTAAACTGATTAACAGCCTAATCTAGTAGATTAACCCAAAGATTACACCATAGAGAAGGATTAGGACCAAAATTGAGGGCGTTTTTCAATGCTATCTTTAACTTTACTATTTTCAATGAAATTAAAAAGAAAAAATAGCTTAATGATAAGAAACGACGGGACAAATAATCACAAGAAATTTTAATGTTCGTGAATTTT